ATGTAAGTATATTTATTATTAACCCTTAGACCAGGGGTCAACAACATGCGACTCTTTTACTGCCCTGTTGTGGCTCCACAGCAGAATTAGATTTTAAGGTAAAAATAAAATATCCTAAATATAGTAATATAAAGTAAAATAAAGCTCTGCTGATCATTTTAACACAGTTATAACACTAAATAGTCCTAAACGCTGTAGTTAATGTAGCCTACATATCTGCTAATTCACCAACCTTTAACTCTGAAGGTTGGCGTGCTGACTGCTGGTCACCATAGCAACACAGACAAAAATCTCGCCTAGCTAGTAGCTAACAAAATGGCTTATTTACATTATAGGCATTCAGTTGGTTTAATCTGCAACGAGAAACTGTCAAACTCTAAAGTCGCGAGGCTGAAGTCGCTTCTCATCTGCCAGCTTGTTTGAATTTTCTTCGTTCCACCTTAAGTGGTGCAGGGCTTACATTCTTGCACCTCAGGCACCATTTAAGGTGGAACGAAGAAAATTTGAACAAGAAGCTGGTGAATGAGAAGCGACTTCAACCTCTTAAAAAGGCGAATGTTGAGCAACATTTTACAAGAAATTAGTCCACTTTTGTGGAAAAGTTTCCTGCTGGAGATGTGAGAAAAGCAGCTATAGCTGAGCTAAAACTTAAAGCAGAGCAGTGTAAGTCTGTGCTTTTGTTTATATATTGTTCTTTTTAGCCTATACTAGTACATTAGCACATACTGGGACATATTTACAGCCAAGATGGTAAAATGGACATAAATGTTGTGGCTCCCAAAGTGGTTTGATTTTTTTGTTGAAGGGACAAAATGGCTCTTTTTGACATTTGACCTCTGCCTTAGACTGTGTCCAAGAAAATAATCGTTTATGTTAGTATTAGACCATCTATGAAAAATGTAAATATTTTATGAAAGCACAGATGAGTAAGAGGTTTCATTAGATGTGTTTGTGTCCAGTTCGGAGGTGAATCTCAACTATAACCGTATCTACATGGATGTGAAGAAGCAGTATCTGAAGCTGCTTGGTGCACTGGTAAGTGAAATTATATTGTAATGCCTACAAAATAAAAAAAGTTAAAGTGAACGTTAAGTGAAAGGACAATAATGGAGATACGTTGGGTAATGGAGAAAGTTTTTGTGTGTGCGTAAAGTTGGTGGGCCGAACTAAAAAATTTAAGTGGGGAAATTGTTAAAGCCAGTGTCAAGGATTGATATGGTGACTAATCTTATTCTTGAACACTTTTGTAGATGTTTGCCAAATGTGGGTCAAATTCAAACAAATTCAACTTTTTTCCAAGGATTGGAATGGGGAACAGAACAGACTTTAAGTCACTGACATGGAGTTTCCATTAACTGTTGCAGGAAGTGATGTTAACTGTGATTTATTAAATCATAGTCAGAAAATATGACTAATTTTGATGAAAGCTAGGTGTAATGGTATGTATGTAAGTAGATGTGAAGTAGAAGAGCAGTAACAAATTAACGATTGTGATTATGGGTATGTGGAGGCCCAGTCATTCGTTCTGTGTGAGTAAGGAGTACAGACAAGCTTTGCTTGATTTAACCTTGCTCACAAAACCTCATTGTTCCATCTTAGAACCCTAACATTTCATGTTGTAATTCAGAAGTGATTCTGAATTCAATCTAAATGAATCTAAACTATCCAGTGTCCTGGAAATGGCCCAAACTGCTCAAACTGATTAACAATGCTCAGTTTCATAGGGATGTGATGTCATGTCTTCCTGAACAACCTAAAAACAGTCTTTCCTAGAATGTACAAAATGTATCTTAAACACTGTCTTCAGAAATACCGCGTGCTGGTGTACAACGGTGACGTGGACATGGCTTGCAATTTCCTCGGAGACGAGTGGTTTGTTGATTCTCTGCAGCAAAAGGTGAGTTTCTGATCTGGCACCATGTATTTGTAGTCTGAGTTTTAATGGCATGTTGTACTGTGAAGCTACAGAGCTGATGATTGAGTGTATCTGCGGCAGGTTGAAGTGAAGCGCAGGCCGTGGCTCTACTTCAACGGCCAGAATCAGCAGGTGGGCGGATTTGTCAAGGAGTTCACCAACCTGGCTTTCCTTACGGTCAAGGTAAGAGTACTCTAAAGGTGATCACTTGATGCCATTTGGAACCATTAGTGGGTTTAGCATGAATCTCAAACCTTAGGGTTCTCTATCTCAGTCCTGGTGACCCCACGCTCTGCACATTTTGTGTTTTCCGTACTCTACATGCTCTACACACCCATGAGCAGCTTGTTAGTGTGGGGTCACCAGGGATAGGAAGTAAGAACCTCTGCTCTAACTAGAAGTTGATCTCTGTTCTGTGATTTGGGAAGTGTTCTCAGTTGCACATGGCTAAATAAGCCCCTGTCCATGTTCCTGATCTACAGTATTCAGAAGTTTATTTTTCACTTACTTTTGGTTTGTTCCTCAGGGTTCTGGTCACATGGTCCCCACTGATAAGCCCATAGCAGCCTACACCATGTTCAGCCGCTTCCTCACCAAGCAGCCCTACTAAGCCTCAACCAGGGACATCTACTCTGTTGTCTAGTCAGAATTTGCACTGAGTCACTGTGAAAAGCACTTCAGTTTGGCTGTGGTACATCTCTGTGTCTAGAATAATCAAAATCTAGTTAAATGCACTGCAGTAGCTGCATATTGGCTTCCATTTTAGTCTGAATCTTGTTTTCTGACTGACAATTGGGGAAAAACTTGTAGATCTGTTTGGCAGTAAGTGTGAGTAAGGGGATAGTTAGCAGTAAATAGCTACGAAAGTCTTGGTGCAGACACCAGAGGCTCATGGAGATGTGATTTGGATTTAACTGGAAGGCTTTGATCCAGCTAATCGTAATGGCCAAAAGCTGCTGAATTTGTTCTGACTGCATCTGATTGTTTATTCTTTAAATTTTTTTTAAATAATCTTTCTAAGGTTTGTTCACATGCAATTTCTCTATTAAATGTGAAATTGTACTTGTTTTCTCTGCAGCCTTTACCTGGCAACTGCCTTGTATTTTTAATGACTTCAAAAGGGATTGTTTCATTTCATGTTATATAGATGCGTCTCATGGGGTGAGAACTCTTGACCAAAAGGAACACAATCATGTGTTGCAGCACTGAGATTATTGATGTTTTCTTGTGATTGGACTGTATTGCTCAGGGTTGCTTTAAAATGCATAGAATTTTAAGTCAGCAAGTGGAAAATGGACGAATCTGTGTGCCTTCAATCTGTTTTTATATTAAATTTTGTCACTGTGGCTCTGTTTTAGTTTGACCTGAGATTTATGGACCAAATAAATTAGGAAACACAAATGAAATTTTCCAAAAGTAGTTAATGATGTTATTTTTCTGATATTTTGTCTATCTTGTCAGGTGTTCAGCAGATAACTTGTGGTTGTGGGTAGATTGTTGCCTCACTGTAATAAACCCTGTCCAATTTAACTTAACACCATGCTAAGAGTGTCTGACAGAGAAAACCAGATGTGCATGAATGCTAAAGGTCAGTGACCCAAAGAGGTGTAGAGTGGTTATAAAGAACGTCTTGCAATCCAAATCAAGTTTACAGCACTCATTTGATCCATGTATGTTGCTTTATACCACAAGTCACTGTTCTCATCCACTGAGACCAACTGATTAAGGAAGTGGAAGCAGGTGCAACCACCCCAGCTGTTAGTCCATAAGATAGGTGACCCATGATGTATACATTCACTCCTAAAAGTAAAGACGGTGAAAAGAGTGGTATTATATGCATTGACAGAACCTTTTTTTTGGTTTTTCTTTGGAGAACATCTTTTGTAAATGTGATAGGAGTGTGAAAGCTCTACGAAGAACCCTTAAACTGGTTTAGAACCTTGACATTAGGGATCAACAATCTTATCCACAAAGGGCTGGTGTGGCCACAGGTCCTTATTCTAATCAGAATACAGAAGCTCACTTCTTTTTTTTAAGTTGGTCTCAGTCTTCAAACAACCGCTATATAGTTATGAGTGCTTCTGCTTGGTTGAAAACCTGCAGCATTTCCAGCCCTTTGAAGATCAAGATGGGTGACCTCTGCTTTATGAGAAGGATTTGCCCTTTGCCTGAGACATTGCATTTTAAAGCAGGTGTGTCAGGCTCCAGTCTGTGTGGGTTAAAACACTGCAGACTTCAGAACACTGCCTCAGTAATCGCACCTGATTCAGCTCTTCAGCTAATTAGCAAGGCCTTCATGAACTGAATTCAGTGTTAGATGAGGGTAAATGCTAATATTCACAGCACTTTGGCTCAGAGGGTCCCCAGTTTGACATGCCTGCTCCAAAGCATGGTTTTCAACTCCGGTCCTGGGGACTGACTGCCCCCCTCCGTTTTGAGTATTCCTTGCTCTAGTGCACCTAATTATACTTGTGAAGGGTGTGATAAATAGCTGACGAATTGGATCAGGTATGCTACAGCAGCTACAACCTGAAAAACCATGCTTTAAAGGGCAATGTCAGTGTATTCGTAACTAGTTCATGCAATAACTTTATGTGGGGTAGTTTTTAAAAGCAATAAACACTTCAATTCTCTGGATCCTGTCACCACCACTGCAAACAATTCTCAGTAAATTTGTCTAGAACTAAGCATTCCACATTAAGCCACTCCGAATGACCTTATTTACAATTTACTGACTTAATTATGCAGACATTTTGGGAAAACAAACAGTAGAATCCCTTTTTAATCCAGAGTTTTCCAGTCCCTGTCTTTTGCTTCATCACACCTGATTCAACTGATTAACTCTTTGTGGGCTGGATCAGGTGTGTAGAGTAATAATTCACCAGGACTGGGATTGGTAACCCCTGCTTTAAACCTTTAAATGATTCTTCAGACTCACAAATCTCTTTTTCAAACAAGGTTCTTTAAGGAATCAAAAGTGGTTTTTCTATGGTGTCACTCTTTCTAAAAAAGTGCACCTCAAATATATCAGTTTTTGTAATATTTTGTGAGAAATGTGGGACAGCATGGTAAGAAAGTTGTTGGATGACACGGGAACATCAGCTCTTCATTTTAAGCATTTGAAACAGTACATTCAGTACAAACCTGTCATTTACACGAGCTACTGAAACACTAATGTGAGACACCAATATACATGTTTCTATGGGCAGTACAGTAGTGATACATCATGTCAGAAAGTATGTGCACATAAAATTTAATCAATACACGTAATCAAGAACACAAGGTTTCTACATCTATTTGTGTGTCTCTGGCACAGTCTGTAATATCTGATGGCAGCACTGTAGTGAGCATATATTTAAAAGTGAATGTGAAACACAAATAAAAAAAAAGATCCCAAGTACAAAACGTTCAGTGTTAGTCAGTGTTGTCAGTCTCTCCAGCCTGCTTCCTCTCGATCAGCTCCCTCAGGCCACTTCTGAAATGCAGGTTGGCTCCTACAATGATGTAGCCCTAAAGGTCAAAAGGGAAAATTGAGGAATTTATTTAAAAAATGTTGTCCTTAAAAATTACATTAGTACAGGTCACATGGACGGCTCAGGACTTACATTGTGATACTCCACCACCTCCTCGATGAAGTCGATACCATCGGGCAGAGGAATCCGCACTCCTCTCTTAGTGTAATCTTACATTTAAAACAGAGGAACATTAATTGTTCAGCATACAGTCTTTGTTCAGTGTTCAACCAGACATGCTTTACAGTGTTGCAGTTCTTTAAAGGAGATTTACACCAATTTTTTAAATTTTCTTCATAATTCAGTCGTTGAGATCTCTACAGAGTCATTCAGAGTGTTTTGATGTGAACTGATTCATTGTAGAGAAACGGATCGATTTATTTATAATGGTGGTGATAGGGACTGGGGGTTTCCAAAGAAAATATAGACATTTTATTTACCATCTGAAATACATAGTGAACCTACACTTGTCTTCTGAGTTTTAATATGTAATATTGATGATGGCACAATAGGAATAAATCTGAAAACTATCATAAAACAATGTCAGACACCAGGCAGCGTATTCATTAACATTTGATATAATAGCTTCTGTGATGGAGATTAAAGTTTTCAGACGTCTGGTTCCTATCACCACCATTGTGAACAATTCTGCCGCTTTAAATGTCTATAGAATGGAGGATTTCACATCAAAACACTCTGAGTGACTTTGCTTTAACCAATTAATTATGCACAAATTTAGAAAAATCACAAGAACTCCCCTAAACCAGGTTCTTTAGGGAACAGAAATTGGTTCTATCTCATTGCGACAAAGAATTAAAATTTCATTTGAAATATTTCTTTGATTCCAAGGAAATATTTACTTTATTTTAAACCGTAGGTAACTGCATATTGGCACTGTCCAAAGAAAAACATGTATCTCCAAAACTGTAATTTTACAGGAGAAAAATTGTAACTTTCAATGTAAATGTAAAAAATGTTATTCTAAGTGATTTTATAGCATTTCCATTCTTCCATTCATCATGAAATCTTCACAAAATATAAAGCACAGCTGCTTTGTTCAACTGCTGTAGAAAAATAAAAATTGAAAAAATGGAGATGTTTTTCTTTAGACAGCGACAACATATTAATGCATGTACGATGCATTCGTTTAGGTGTGAGCAATAGGATATTTTATCATTATTGTAATTAATTACACATTACACCATAATATGCGTTTTTTTAGACTACATTGTAGATCTCATCGCTACTTAAAGAACACTGACCAACTGCATATCTCATTACAAAAATAGTATAATTAGTCTTTTTTTGATACAGTCCAGTGCAGCACACTGTTAGTAATAAAGGTTCTGTGCAGGTACATTTTATGTTCATCAAAATACAAACAATGAAAATGTTCTATCAGAGGTACAACAGTGGTTTTAAGGTCCAATTGTGTTCTTCAAATAAGTTTTTCCCAGCATAAAAGTATATAATTGTATCTTTTCATAACCAAATGTTTTAAAACAGAACAATAAAATAAAAAGACTGGAGACGAGACGGGGTGTGTGGAGTCAATACAGCTTAGAGAATATAATTTCAGTGGTTTATGGTACAATTATGTTCCCTGACTTAAGGTACTGAGATGTACCCCTGAGAGTCACACCCCAGTGACAGTAAAGTAAAAATAATTGTATTCATAGTTTTTCCCACAAATGTGACACTTCTGGTTTTATTTTGTCTGTTCCAACTTATCAAACCTTAGAAAAAAACAAATATCACGATACATCTTGTGTATTGTAAAAATGTCTTCAAGTATCATGATGTAATATTTTTGCCATATAGCCCACCCTTTCGTTCTACATTGAGGACAACTGCCATACATGGAGACAAGCAAAAGGTCATTGAATTTCACTTACTGTTGAGGAGGGGCACCACCGTGATTTGCAGCATAGTCTTCAGCGGAGCTTGGAGAGGGATCAGCTAGAAAGAGTGCAGAGATTCAGCCATTAATCCTCAAATCCTCAAATGCTGAGCTTCCATTTTACTTCCCTCAAAGCAATAACTTAATGCAAAGTTCACATTAAAAGACGTCTTACCGCTAATGACTCCAAAGCAGACTGGTTGGAGAAAATTTTAAACCTAGAAACAGAACATATGCTCAATATCTATAACCATAACTGAATCTAATGAAGTGTCCAGGAAAGTTGGTTGAAAGGTATTTGTACGCACCTTCTGAGGTCCAGATGAATGGCTAGTCTCTTCCCCTTCATGGACACTTTGGCATTGAATTTGGACTCCTATCAACACAGCAAAACAATTTTAGTTAGACCACTGTCTGAGGGACAGAAGCACCATTGTTCAGGAGGTTCATGTCTCAAAACAGGTATGTGATTGAACGTCCTTACCATGGTCATACTGCTGAGCTGGACGGGTGCCTTTCCTGGAGGAAGAGCCAGCACTCTGACCCCAGAGTGGACAGCTACGCTGGCCCCTGATGTCTTGATGGTAGAGGTAGGAGCTGAGGTGACCTCCAGCTCCAATGAGATAGGAGCTTCCATCAGAGCTGGGTTCTGAAAGATGAAACAAAATCATGTTGTTGCTATTGGCAAATGGCAAAAGCGTTCAGTCATTTCTTTTGGTCCATTAGTTATGAAATGGTCACACAATGTAAAGGGCAGCTTTCGTTGGCGAAAGGAAAGAAAAAGTACAGAAACTGAGTGGAAACATGGACCAATTTAAGCAGCACCCATTAGATTTTTGCCTGTCTGGATGCTCTTTACCAGACTTTCCACACATTAGCCCGTGTGTGGTGTTGGGGTCTGTGGGACCCATTTTTTTAATGTTTACTAAAAGAAAAAAATTATCATCATTTCAACCTCAGATTTCTTGGCTTTTGCTAATTTTCTGTGAAGAACATCTAAAATAACACATTTTCAGTGACTTCACACTGTTCACCCCCCACACATTTATATTACACATGTGGTGTTGGGTGAACCTGCAGGGAATAAAAGTGTGGAGGTGCTGTGTCTTTCACTCTGTTCTCCTCCTACATGGCCTGCTGTTAGTATGTGTGTACCTGTGTGTGTGTGTGTGTGTGTGTGTTTGTATATATGTGTGTGTGTGTGTGTGTGTGTGTGTGTGTGTGTGTGTGTGAGGGTGGACACATGGACAGGCTGCTGACTGGCTACAGCTGCTAAAGGAGAACCCTACTCTGGGCACTTGTGATATTTTAAACATCTGGAATTTTTACATAAACTGTTATGGCTGTATTGATTAAAAAAACAGTAATGTGATGGGTCCACCAGACCACTGAGTAACAACAACATCAACACCACACAAGGAATAAAAATACAAACTCATTTTGAAAGAGAAAGCTCTTACCAACATCATGATAGGTCCAAAGTAGGTGGTTCTGAGAAGCATCTCCAGGTCTTTTGGCATCTAAAATTTTTGGTATGTTATTATTCAGAGCCTTTCTACTGAACACAAACAGGAGAAAACAATCTTTAGACGGCATCTTACTCTGTCATTTGATATGTGCATCCTGAACACCCCTCCTTTGAAATATGAATAGAGTCCACTGTCGAAGAAATACTCAGACAGAGCCAGATAGATCATGCGGTCGTACTCTCTCACAACAGGATTCACTGCATAGTTCACCAGAGTATCTTTCTCATTCTGCAGATTGTAGAACATGCCCTGCAGAGACAGATAGAGATTCTTTCAGAGGAATCTAAAATTCAGAGTATTGAAACGCTCAAGTCTTAATACTCATCTACAAACCCAATTCCAAAAAAGCAGGGACAGTGTGTGAAATGCTAATAAAAGCAGAAGACAGTGATTAGTAAATTTTGCTTGACCTGTATTAAATTGAAAATGTTACAAAAACACAATATTTGAAGTTTTATCTTATGAAGATCCTTGCTTTTCATAAATATACACTCATTCCAAATTTTATGCCTGCAACATGTTACAAAAAAGTTGTCACAGAGGCATGGCTACCACTGTGTTTTAAAAGCACTTAATAATCATATGGGGACTGAATACAAAAAGTAAAAGTGGAATTTTTGCCATTTTTCTGTCAGAAAAAAAGTCTTTAGATATGTATCCATACAGGGCCTTTCTTGTCATATTTTGAGCTCAATAAGACACACATTTTCAGTGGAGGCAGGTCTGGACTGCAGGCACCTCTGCGGCTTGGTGTTGTTATGTTGAAATAAGCTTGACTGTCCCTGAAAAAGACAGTATCTAAATGTGTTCGGCATTAATGGTGCTTTTACAGATATACAGGTTACCCACTTATACCCCCCGAATACCATTACAGACCCTGGCTTTTGAACTGGTAACAATCTGTATGGTCCTTTCCTCTTTGGCCCAGAGACACGATGTCCATAATGTTTGTGAATAGTCTGAAATGTTGACTCATTAGACCACAATGCATGTTTCCACTGTGCATCATCTTAAAGAGATGATGTAATCATGTTTAGGTGTATATATATATATATATATATATATATATATATATATATATATTTTACTGTGTTCTTAGCCTTAAATTGTTTCTGCTTGCATCAATTTTAGAATGAGTGTGTATTTACAAAAAAACAAGTTGATAGAAAAACCAATAGTATCTGGTCTATGTGCTGTTTTTGTTCAAATACATGTCAAAGATGTATAAATGACTGCTTTCTGTTCTTATTTACATTTTACCTATTATTGCAATGTTTTTGTAATTGGGTTTTTAAAATAAATAACAAGTCCTGTTTGCCTCTGTATTGCACCTGCTTCTCCCGCAGAAAATCCTAAAACACTAACATCTGTGAGCTTTGTGTAGTACAAAGAAAAGAAGAGAGTAGGATTCAAATAAACACACTGACTGGTTGTGTATATTCTTGAGGCTGAAAGAGGAACTCCACAGATTTTTCAAAATTTCTGCCTAATTAAGTGGTTAAGCATTAAACAAAGTTATTCACAGTGGTTTGATGTGAAATGTTCTGTTTTAGAGAAACAAATTAATCAGAACTGTTCACAGTTGTGGTGACAGAAACCAGACATCTCAAGTGTTTAAAGCCTCTACCTCACAGAAAGTTACTAAATAAAAATGTTTTATGATAGTTTTGAGAAAAGTTTTTGGCCTAAAACATATATTTTTTTAAATCTATTCATGCGCTGAAAAAATGGTCCATGACTATAATGTGTCAAGTGGTTGCACACAAATAAAATATTTCACAATGCTTTCTTTAAGTTTGCTTTTGGCAAGATTTACGTTGATGTAACATATAATGTTTATAGGTAACCACTCAACATATCGCTGCTCTCAGAAGAAAACCTCGTATCTCCATTTTTGATGTTTGTCAGTTTTTGACATAAATTGAAAATGCCTGTGGTCCTTTACATTGTGTGTAAATTTCATGATGAATGGACTAAAGTAAACAGCCCCAAATGACTTGGAAAAAAATCTGGTTCCACTGACTTTAAATTAAAGTAGGTTTTTTCCTTCTCCTGTAAAGTTACTATTTTGGAGATACAAGGTTTTCCTCTGACAACAGCGATATTTTAATCATGTAAATTTAAAGCAAAGTTAAGAAAAAATAGTCCCTAAGGAAAATGCATTTCTTTCAGATTTACCATAATTTAACCTTCATCAACATTATATATAAAAACTCAGAGGACGTGTGGTCATTTAGTAAACAAAATGGCTATATGTGCATTGTAGACCCCTGGTTCCTATCACCACCACTGTAAATAAATCTCCTTTAACTCTATTACAGTTATTTATACTTACATACTTAATATCGACCCAAGCTTTGTGATAAAACACTCACCCTGAAGTCCATATCAAGACTAGTGCCAGTGACCACAGGGTCACTCAAAAGCGAATAATCAATGCCCACATATTTATCCACCTCTGCACGCACTGCATGAAAACACAAACAAACAAATGTCTCACAGTAAACGCCCAACCCAAACACCTCCACAATTCCCAGTACATTCTGGACAGGTCAGGCAGAGACATGACATCACAAATTCTCAGATATAAAAACAGTCAAAAGTGCTGTCTGACCTGGAATCGTCTCCAGCAGTTGGTTGATCAGCACCAGCGCGGCGTGATTCAGTGCAGGGCAAATCTAAAATGAATTTACAACTTCTGTAAATATTATGCTCATCTTAAGAACAACATACGTAGAAGGTGAAGACATGCCTCTTCAGCCTGAAGAAACAAACCTGCTGATTTAGGATGAAGCGCATTCCTGTGGTCAGGAACGTTGCGACAAAGTCGTAAACCCTCCTGTGAACATGAAAGTATTCAAATATAAATATTAAACATATAATTATACAATGTACAATACAGCCAGACCTCTACTATTTCACTCATGTCATTAGCACATTATTACACTCTTAAAAAAAAGTTTCCTAGATAGTCCTTTTCTAGGAAAACCCTTAAATTGGTATGGAACCTTACATCATGAGGAGGCTGTTTTGTTGTGGAAAAGAGGTTCTTTTTTTTCATTTTTTCAAAATGTTTGCATAATCTCATCATTGCCATGGAAACAAAGTCTGTCTGTTCATCATTTAATCCTAAAGATTTGGCCTAACATTAAATTCACAGCTTATCTTATATACAGCCATATGCAAACGTTTGGGTGGCCAAATGACATTTTGTTGTGAAAAAAAAATATGGATGTTTGTTTTGATGCAAAATTACTGTTTATATGCTGATATAAAGTATGGCCTGTGCAAAAGCTCCAGCACATTTTATGTGTGTGTATACATATATATATATATATATATATATATATATATATACATATGTGTGTGTGTATAGGTAGATAAATAGATAGATAGATTTTTTTTCCTAAATAAATTAAATTAAAGATGTTACATTTTATTCTCTATAAAGAATGTGTGAACTTATTTTCAATTAGAAAATCAACAAAGCATGTAATTTGACCTGGCATTTTCAAACTTTTGCATACAACTGCATAATGAGAGCAATAGACCGGGCAGTAGTTTGAAGTTTGGTCATTGTTTAGTCTAGTTATGCCTGTATTTCCTTTATATGTAGGTCTTATTTTGGAAAGCTATTAAAGAGCCAATGGAATCTGAAGAACCATGTGGTTGTGGTTCTTAGTGGACTGAGTGACTCATTGATCTTTTTATGGAGAGGTCCTTTAAAATTATTTAATTTTTGAAAAAGTGCTGTGAGTAACCAGTCAGAGATATTTTAAAAAAACATTTTAAGAGCTTGTTGTGAAGCTAAAAATGCCACCAAGCAAAGAACCATCTGCTGAAAGGGTCCATAAAATGCTCCTTCTACAGCATTGCTCTAAAGAACTTTTTTAAAGAACCTTTTGTTTTTAAGAGTGACATTACAGTTGAACATGAACACCTGATGATCTGCCAATGTGTATAAAGCATGATGATGAAATGTCTTATATATGTATGGGGTCCAGTACCCAAGGGTTCCGCCAAACTTGGCCCTCATCTTGCCAATGGAAGCATCACAGCTGACATTGGAGATCTTGAGACGGCCTAGCTCATCTTTGGCCAGGTCGAGGGCGGTGTGGATGTTCACGCCTTCTGCAGAGGCGTTGATGGGACCCTCGTCGTAGCTTATGGAGGAAAGAGACATCCATCAGAAAGATTGTTCTACTCAGGTTCATCTCAGTCAGCATTTGGACAACATGGTTTAAAATCCATAAGTAATTTTAAAGAGTCAGGGTGTTCAAAAGCTTGGAACCACTTACCATATTAATAACACGTGTAACTCACTTCTTAATTTTATATCGCTTTCTCAGTCATTTTGGAATCATCTACAGCTCTGTTCCTCATCTCGGACACGTCTAACATTTCTTTATTTTTATTTACAGCTCTCTAGTGTCCTACTAACTATCTAACACCTGTGAAGTTGTACAAGATAATCATATTAGAATAATTTCATACATTTGCAACTATATTGTTTTATTTTATTGAAAACACAGATTCCAAACTTTTAAATGGAGTAGTTATGTTTCATGATGGAGCTATATTAGCTGTGCCGCTTTGTTATTGCCACAAGGGTATTTTAATCAGTTATCAAGCAACACACTGTAAGACTAACTTGTGGAGAATGATTAGTTCCCATTCGCAGGAGATCATTTGCTAACTTTAGCATGAGAGAAGGAGCCCAAATGGGTTTATGCTAAGAAGAAGGAAGTTCTACGTCACAAACTTACAAGAACCAGTAGAGGATGCGTCTCTGGAAGCTGACGGTGATGGATGAGTTGTGCACCTCAAAAAGAAGTCCAGCTGTAGGCTGGAAACTGAGGTCAGCTGTCAGGTTTAGCTCTGTTATCTTCACACTGTGAGGAGGTCAGAGGCACAGGTTTATGATTAGTGGCCAATTTGATCTCCAACTGTTTTAAACAAACTCAGAACAGGGCCTTTCATAAAGTGGGATTTATGGCTCAGCCAGCTAACTTTATCCGTAGTTTAATCTTACCCTGGACTTTCTTTCTCATGATAGGGGATCACTTTTTACCCAGATACCTGCCATGGCAACTTATAATGCATGCCTAACTTGCTCCAAGGCAGGTAAAATTCAGGGTTTCACATCATGAACAACTCTTGGACCATCAGATGACCTTTAGACCAATCAGGCACTGATGGAGGTGGACCCCTGCAGGGTCTTCATGACATCTGTGACATCAATCACATGAAGAATATTACTTTTTAGCAGAGGAAACAAATCAAACTACATCGATAGTAAGAGTATTGCAGGATGTTCAAGAAATGTGTTGACATTTTAGCTTTGGGTCATGTGTTCTCCAGAATTAATTGCACTTGGTTCATTTTGCTTTGGACTCTAACGGGGGTGGGAGGTGGTCTAGGAACTACCCCGGCAGGGTGTGTATGTGTGTGTAGAAACAGAGACGTGAGCTGGGTGAAAGAACAGGAACGTGGCTGTGGCTGTGGCCAACAACAGCTGGAAAATAAGGCACCACAACTTGTGCAAAAGCAGTGCCTCTTTTAATAGCAGTGAGCGTTGCAATATAAAGCTATTGTTACCCTAATAAGCACTAATGTGGTGGCAGTGGAGACAGCATTGCTTTTTTGCTGTTGCAAATGCTTTAATTTTTACATATTTAAGTACTTTTTCATCATAACGATTAGCCTAAGTATCTGAACCTGGGTTAACAGAGAAAGCTGTTAACCACCTTTGTAAAATGACTTAAATCCCGTTCCATTTATTAGGTTTTGTGAAGCTCTTGGTCAGGAACCCTGTGTCTGCTGAACTTGCTTGGCCCCAGGATGTGGACTCGCACATCAGGAGTAATTAGACCATCAACCACAAACCTCTTTCGTTGCTAACTTATTCCTATTAGCATTGACGCTAATCAACTCTTGCAAATAATTCTCATTTTGTAAAGCCATTTGTGATAAACACCTTCATTATTGCACACTATTGATTCCACCATTGGGTCATTAATTAACTCATTAACTGCTCAGTAACTTCAACTCTTACAGCCCTTTTCTTTATTTCTTATTTGATTTGTCCACCATGTTCCTAACATTATGCCTACGCTTGGAAAACACTCATCTCTGAATAACTTGTGGTGGGTGATGCAAGTGATTTTCTGTCTCGACATTAGTCGAGTGACCTTTTTCCGTTGAAGTACGTCTTACTCATCCTCTGAGTGTTGTAATTTAACTGAGTTTGCTAAAAGTGTAATTCATCCAGGTCTAACTGATGAGGAGGAACTGATGTTCATCGTGTCTTTGCTGGAATGATAATGTCTTTGTAATTTCATATTTGGACTGAATTCTGAATTGAGGTAAATGTTGTATTAAAATAAAAAGACAGTAAACACAGCTGATGATGGCTGGACAAGTCTAACTGACTCTGTAATGGAATACTGGAAGCGCCCCTCCTTGCCATGCATCTCTGGCATGGTGATGTTTCCCAGCTCCTGCTCCACAAACTTCTGTGTCTCATACTTCACTGAAAAAAAACACAAGAAAACCTTAAGGCAGGGGTCGCAACCCAAATGTTAAGAAGAGCCATTTTATCCTTTCAACAAAAATCGAACCACCTTGTGAGCCACAGCATTTTATGTCCATTTTATTAAAGTAACATTTTAGCATCTTGGCTAAAAATGTGTCTTAATATGAGCTAGGTAATGTCCTGGTATGGACATTATATAATATTACATAATATTAACGAAAACACAGACTTACTTTGCTCTGCTTTAAGCTTTAGCTCAGTTATAATGGCTTTTCTCACATCTCCGGTAGGAAACATTTTTGCAAAAGTAGAATATTTTCTTGTAAAATGTCTAACATTTGATTTTTTACAGCTTCTCATTGGCCAGTTTCTTGTTCTAATTTTCTGGTTCCACCTTAAATGGTGCCTGAGGCTCCAGAATGCAAATGCTGCACCATTTAAGGTGGAACAGGAAAATTCGAATAAGAAGCTGGAGAACGAGAAGCTGTACTTCAGCCTTGTGACTTTTTAGTGTTTGACAGTTTCTCACTGAAGATTAAATGTATCACAAAACTAGCTGGGTGCTTTTAAATGCACATCAGTCCATTTGTCTCCAATTTATTGATGTTCATCTTAAATTTTTCTCTTTGCCTTTTTGTTAGCTATGTCTGTGTTGCTATGGTAACCAGCAGTCTGTGCTAATCTTCAGGGTTGAAGGGTGAATTAGCAGATATACAGTAACTCCAGCATTTCAAACCATTTATTTTTAAAACTGTCTTAGAATGAATAGCAGAGCTTTATTTTACTGCAAAAGAGGATTAACATTATTTTATTTTTTACCTAAAATTCTGCTGTGGAGCCGCAACAGGGCAGTAAAAGAGCCGCATGTTGCTGCCTTAAAGGGATGAAAAATATGAACATTGCTACATCTTTTGTAAATATGCTTACTCGCCTCCTACAGTTGCCTCTAGAGCGGTCTAGAGTGGTCATCAACCCTGGTCCTGGAGATCTACCTTCCTGCAGAGTCTAGTTTCAACCACTACCTGACACACCTGCTCCAGCTAATTAACTCCTTCACAGCTCCCTAAATGGCTGGACCAGAAGCATTAGTGTTAAGTAAGCGGAGGGTTACATGTAAGATGCAGGTTGGAACTAAACTCGGCAGGAAAGAAGGCTGGTGACCACTACTGTAAAGTGAGATTTCATGATTTAAAGACATCTTTTCTCATGATGTATCTTGAAGGTGGGAGGAACTATGACTCCACCTGCTTTGGAGTGTATTTTAGTTCAAGTTCAAGAGGCTTTATTGTCATTTCAGCTGTATACAAGTACACAGTGAAACAAAACAACATTCCTCCAGGACCCTGGTGCACCACAGGAACACAAGTGCAAAACAATACAATTTACATAGGACAGGCAATACAATGCAATAAATGCAAAAGACTTACAAGTAAACAGGACACAGACAGTACACAGTACTGAGAATATGTAGATTGTAAAACAGGGTGTAACATACTATGACATATTAGCAGCTAGCCTAGCATATATGAGCATAGCAGTCATCGAGGTAGTGGGTAGGGGGCTGTTTAGATTTTTTTTCCATTAGCTGGTGAATTCAGAAGGCAGGCAGAGAGCAAACATCACTGTTAGGAAGTTGAATATCTTACTATAAAAGATATTATAATAAAGATATTATGTCTGTTTTTTGTTATGTTTTTGTTCAACAACCAAGGCGCTAGTGCTAGCTTGGTTGTACTATTAGTCTATATATCAGTGGCTAGCAGTCGCGGTTGATTGCTACCACAGACATTACCTGTGTTTGTGTGACATATTTGCATAATAGATGCTGGGTTTTATAGTGAGAAAACACTTAAAACATGAAAACAAGATAGAAAATGTGACAGAATACAGTATAACTTGACAAATAATATATCAAACTCTAGCTTTTGGCTAGAATGCCCCATTAAATGGTCAGTGTCCACCTATTTTAGAGATACCTCAGTTGAACTCAGTTGCAATATTTTTTGACTTCTGAATTTAATGGAAATGCGCATGATTTAGAAACTGAAAGCAACATGTTTTTTTCTTATTCATAGGTGAGCAAGCAAGTGAACAGTTATAAAAGTGTGTTATATTTGAATGCATTTTTATAGTTGCAGCTGTCTGTAGAACAATTATTTATAAACTGCAGTTGTGTTGCACAACCATCTTCATGGAGAGGTGCAAAGTATTTTCACAGCAGCGGCTTCTCACCCCTCCTATATCACTCCTCATTGCTCACTAGCAGCTCAGCAAAGAGTAATCTGAGTCCCAGCCGTGTCCTAGTTAATCTAATAACAGAGGAAGATTATCTTATTTTATTATATTAATTTAAAAATCCTCGAGTCAATTTCCATTCCTCCAGCAGAATGGCCACTAGGGGACCTGCAGAAAGAGGTCTGCTCTGGCACAGCTGCGTCCTTTGCTACAATGATAATAAATAGTAATAAATAATGATAATAAATGATGTCTTACACATTTCCAGGCCTCTGGAGGTGATACGAATTTTGCAACCAGGTGGAATTTCTGTCATCTTTGCCACGAGCGGGAGGAGGAAGATGATGGTGACTGTTCCATAGACTCCCATTTTGCCTTACTGGAGCTGGAGCCCAAGAGAAGAGGAACATGAAGCAAAGTTAAAGAAAAGACTCACTCAGAAAGAAGGAATCATTCAAACAGTAGCCAGCAGATAAATAATGAACACATGAATTATTCAGTTACTTTCTCAACAGTGTGGTTCACCATAAACAACCACATAAAAGGTACTCCACATTCAAATTAGTCAGCAAGGACAATCCCTTTCCTGCTCGGACAGTCAACTTAACTTTCCGGGGTTCATCTTCTGATTCACTGACTGCTATATTTAGACAGTCTGAACACTATTTATCACAACATTGCTGACTATTCAGCTGCACAAACAAGTAAACAAATCCATTAAATTCTCTAATAACACATACGTAAGGTAATACAGCAAGAGTTATGCAAAGAGCGACTAAAATTTGTCAGTTATTTAATTAGTGCACTCCTACCTCAGGTGCCTTCACTGCTGTTGTCTGCAAAGGCAAACGGCTGCTTCTGGGAAGCTTTAACTTCAACAACGTCAAGGCTATTTGTTTCTGCACTCTATGCCCAACCCTCTCCTTCTCTCTCTCTCTCTGTCTCTCTCTTGCTCACTCCCCATCCTTTTCAGCCAAAGAGAAACAAACACTTCTATTACAGACTAAATAATGTTCCACTGCTGCAGAGGAAGGAGAGGAAAAGGTATGAACAGCTCCCTAAAAATCTAGACATCCCTTCAGAAAACACTTAATAATCTGTCTCTTGTCTTTTGAAACTATAGGTATATACACAATATACATATTGTAGTGTTGGCGTAGAAGGAGACATGGAAGAAGTCATGATTCTGCTGCAAGTAGTGCTCTTTTATTGGAACATTGGCAGTGAAGGAGAGCCGCCATGATAACAGGCCGGTCGCTTCAAGCCATATATTGTCCATTTGTGATAGTCACCCAGACCCACACTAACTACCCCACAGCCCAGCAAAGAATGATACAAATAACACATTTGCATGTATTTAGCCTAACAATAACAACTTATTTACAATAAAGTCTCTTGTAACACGAGCAGGGCGCCTCCTGAGAGCCTCCGCGCATGGCCAACACAGCAGCACATCAGCAAGATTGTAGTTTTCCTTTGACCATTTGAAACATGGGGTGAGTTTTGGAAGTCTGTCGTTTGGCCTGATGAGACTAAACTGGAGTTGTTCAGGCACATGGATGTTGCTCTTGTTTGGTGAAGGAAGGGAGTGGCCCTAAAAACACACTGTTCCCACAGTTAAACATCGTGGTGGAAGCATAACACTGTGGGTCTGTTTTGCTGCTTCAGGCACAGAGGACCTTGTTTGGGTACATGGAGTCATGAAGAGAGATTATGTTGACATTTTGAATGATAATGTGAAGAAATCTGCTGCCAGTCTGGCTTTAGGTCGCCTTTGCGTCTCCCAGCAAGACAATAACCCAAAGCACACATCCAAGTTCATCCAAAATGTTTTGAATGACACCAGGTCCTGGAGTGACCCTAACCTCAATCCTATAGATAATGTATGGCAGGAGCTCAAGGTTAAGGTCAAAGAACGAAACCATGTAGTTTGGATGAGCTAGAACAATTTGTCAGTAAGGATTGGGTTAAAATTCCTCAAGAAATGTGTGCCAACCTAGTTAGAAACCTCCTTCTTTCTTCATTGTCACTGCAATGATCCACCACCCAAGTAATACCTGCTCTGTGGTGGTCCTGACCATTGAGGAACAGGGTGAAAGGGGCCTAACAAAGTATGCAGAGCAACAGATGGACTGCAGTCTGTAATTGTAGAACTACACAGTGTACCTATATAGTAAGTGGAGCTGATAAAATTGACAATAAATGTAGACGTAAGGAGGTGAACTTGAATGAAGTGACCAGTCGGGGTATGTGTATATACACATAGAAGTTTGTTCATTTTTTAGGAGGACATTAGACATAAAATAATACACTTGCATAATGAAGGAGAAAAAACTGTTTCAAAAATAAACAGATACACAGAAGACCTGGTAGGCCACCAAAACTGTCCCCATAAACAGCACTTAAAGCTTTCATCTTTGTGAAAGAGGAGAAAATCAAGCTGCTTCAAATCCACAGGTGTTCCTGTTCATCCTTCCACTTTGAGAAGACAACTCAATACTATGAATCTGAAAGGTTGTGTAGCTGCCAAGAAGGCCTTACTAAGAAAAGAAAACAGAGGAAAAGGCTGCTGGTGTTCTCAGAACAATGGTCTTGACCTAAGAGTGTGTTTGGATTACTTGGATCGTGAGAAGCAAAAAGTGCAACCAGCTTCTAAGACTGACCTTTGGAGGTGTGGAAAAATATCCCTGCCAATTTCTTTGAAATACTGAAAGCAAGTCTCCACAAAATGAACATTTTTTTGTCTAAAATTGAATAAATGAAGGCTGGTCTCTGTCTTATGCCCAATACTGTATGTGGAATGGTGTATTAGAATGATCAAGTGGGGGGGGGGGTTATAAATGCAGAGGAAAAGCTGTTTGTCTCTTTGTCTAAATGAGCAGCGGGGGCTGCATGCATCTCTATAGTAACCTCTCACTGAAGAATGAATGGAGAGAGAGAGAGAGAGAGAGAGCAGTTTCCAAATGCTCCTGCTTCATTAAATACATACTTATTTTTTCCTGTATGACCATATGTGCCTCACTTCAGCGATCCTCCATAATAATAACATTTCTGTGCTTTTTGGCAGGCATCCTATCTGAAAGTCCTTTGACTGTCACGTGTCTTTGTGTGTATGTATGTGTGTGTAGGTCTTTTGGGGGCAGCTGTCTTCAGTCATCCAGACATAACCATCTGAACAAGCACGACCAAAACAAAGAGAGTCCCTATTGAGGTTTTATTAGGTCATTGACCCCAGGGTCTCTAACTTAATCGCACTTTTAAGAGAAAGGTCCTTGTGAACAGAGACGTTGCTCAAATTCTGCTTCCGTTTTTCTTAGACTCAGACCTTTTTGAAATCACAGGACTTACATGGAATACATCTCCCAGCACATGCATTGTGCAACTTCACTAAGTGGCCTTTGCCATACATAACTGACTTATCAAACACAGTGACGAAATGAGGGCAAATCTCTATGGAACCAGTTCCAGTGATACATAAGTATTCTGGAAGGTTATTAACATAGAAGTTGGCCAGCTGTTGCTTTCTCTCGCAACATCCCAGGCCTTGTATACAGGGTTTAAAACACTTGTAGTTTGTCAATGCATTTAAGTATTATTTTTGGAAGATCTGCACTTTTACTCCTTTATATTTCCAAGAGAAAAAAACATACTTCCATATCTCAAAGGGCAGCATATGTCTTGTGTTCTTATGCATTTTAATTTATTGTTTTCATTAAAACATCCAACTATATATAGTTATATATATTAGTGTAAAATGAAACTGATTTGTCTTTGTTTGAGGACGAGTGCTGCCGCTCAACACATTACCAACCAAAAAAAAACTATTTACATGTTAGAGCATTTACTTTTTATTGTTAAAGACTTGAGCATGTTTAAATGTAGATACGTTTTGAAATTCACTGATGTAGAGTAGATTTTTGGCTTCATACTTCCACTTTTAACTGAGTAAGATTTTAACACAGTGCTTGTACTTTTACTTAAACATCATATTTCTGTACTTTTTCCACTCTTCTTCTATTGTAAATGGCATATTTTCTCTACTTCCAATTCAGACCCATTGCTGCTGCACACTCTTGCCTCACTAACTGTTTACTTCTAAAATGCTTCCATTCTGGGCTTTGAACTGGTAGAAAAAAGTGGTGGGGCAGTGAAGAGTGGTAGGGGGTCCTGCAGCTCACAAACAAGTTGGGGTCAATGCCCTGTAATACCCTCATTTTTGGGGGGAAAGGAAGCAGGTTGTTCATCATTAAGAAAGAGACAAAAGGAACTCAGTTCAGCCAATCTTAAAAGGGTATGTTGTTTTTTAGGATGTTCTGGAGTAAAAAAACTTTTCCCCCAATATGTATGGCAAAAATGCATTTATAAAAAATATTCAAAATAATTTATACATATTTATATATCCATTTTTAGGCATCCTGAAACAAACTAGTAGAAATGCTCTTATACGGTTCATGGAGGCTTTTTAAATTTTTAAAAGGTTCATTACACTCGCATATCTCATCAACAAAAGGTGGTTCTTTGAAGAACCATCCACTGGAAGATTCACTAGGGAACCAGAATAAAAGAACCTCTTTGGTTCCATTTGGCATCTTTATTTTTAACAGTGTACAGTCAAAGTACATGTTTTGCTGATTTTCTAAATGAAAATAAGTTTAACACATCTTCTACAGGCAACTCAAATATTAAATATGGCATTTCTTTACTAATTTTAATGAACAGTTTCTTTTTTCATTTCAATTCTATTTATTTATTCCAAACATAAAATATAAAATGTGCCAAAACTTTTTCACAGGTCATGTTTTATGCTTTATTTTTTTCCAATATGTTAATTCAGGAAATAAACAGTAGTTTACATTAAAATGTGTAGACGTGTGTTCTCTGTAGAGGACGTCTTCACTTATTTTCACTTTAACAAAGCACGGAAATTGACCAGGGCACCCAAACTATGTACAAGAGCGAATGTGACCCACTACTGCCAAACACATCAAATGCCTTGCTCTCAAGTCACTTTATGTTTCAGCGCAGCATTCAGACAGAAATATGAAGATGGGGATGTTTGCATATTCTAAAGTCTAATTTAATTAATAATTAAGTCCTAGTAGTTCACTGACTAGCCAAAATAATTTCACACAATGTTCTTTATTTACTCTCTGATTAAGACTTAAAGTTGTAACCAGTACTAAGAAAATCTGGAATTAACTTTTTAAGAAAACAGACACTGAAATATTCTTCAAATCTACTGAAAAGCACACCCCAATCCTTGCTACACAAAAGACTAATATATATTTACTCTTTACTAAAAGCAGAAAAGGCAATACTTTAAGATTAGATTGACTCACCTCCATTTGAGCCACTGTTAAAGTGGCAAATGGTCTCCTTCCAAAAGGAAGCATAAAGTGCTGCTGTAAACTTTGTGCAGCCTTTGTGCAACAGAACTGCTTTCCCTGCATCATTTCCCAAGACTTTCACAACTTTCACAAGTCTGCCCAATACTTACAGCAGTGTGGAATGGCTGAGTGGACGTCTGGTGCGCTGGATGGAAAAGATGAGGACTGGTGAATTCGATTTGTCCCTTTTGCTCAAGAACTGGTCAGTGGCTTTTGCAAGTGACTGCTTGCCTCTAATCCTGAGTTTCACTCCTCCTTTCTAAGCCCATTCTCCGTCTGTTCCCCTTTCATGTCGGTCAGAATTTATATGGGCAGGTTGGGGAAAGGGGTGTTCCCCTCCTTGGCTGATGTCGTATGACTTTGTGGCTGCAATAATGACAGTCATTTCTTTCATAAACACATGGTATGTTAGCGTTTACTCTGAAGTGGCATTTAAAGAAGCAGAGGATTGTATTGACAGCTGAGATTTTTTAAACTTTCACACTTATCCCACAACTTGGGTATAAGCTTAGCTTTAAAATGAGTTTGCACTCTTTTAAGCTGATGTTAGTTTGTCTTTTAGTGTTTGGTTTTTTTAAGTAGGTGCTGATTCTACCTTTAACAGAAATGTAATGCTGCTCTTTAATTCCGAGAGTGACCCTTAAATTACTTTATGGCTTCTTGGAAGCACATTTAAAGTCACACCAGCTATATGGTTAAACTCTTTTTTTGTAAACCACAAAGGTCAAAGGTGGTGTATCTTGTAGAGTGAAAGGTACCCTTTTAAGAAAAAAAAAACAAGCTAAGAGAAGTAAAATTACATGCTTCTGGGAATTAGTAAAGCTTTAAAAAGTTGCAGCTAATTATAATGTGGCGCTCTGCTGAGTTCTGGTTGGGAGCCCATCTCAGGCAGAGAGGTTGCACGAAGCCTGTGTTACATCACATGCTCTTTGTGCCAGGCAGATGAAGGACCAGTCTGAAGAGTAAATCCTCAAAGCTGGTCTTCATGTCCCTCTCCTAAACCTTACAACAGATTCCCAAACACCCAGATGATTTTAGAGCACCACTTTCTGATCACTGGCACTTTAGTGTAGGCCTGGATGCCGGTTGCTCTGTGCTTTAAAGGGCCCGTATCATGCAAAACCAAGCCTTCCTTGTAAAGGGCTCATATCCCACATTTTCCTTGTACTTAGTTTTTTCCCTTGAGGTCCACATGTACAGTCATATTCATGTTTATATTCATATATTCATCTTTACATGACCATGTCCAACCTCTCTTTATCCCTTAAACAGATTTTGCCTTTGAGACTGCTATGTAAATGAGCTCTGTTCTGATTGGCTGCCATCTTTTGTGCCTCATTCAAAAAACTGCTAACTGCTGTAAGCTGAATGAGTGGGTCTACGTAAATGTGTTGGTCTTCATGACATCACAAGAACAGTGGATTCAAAACAAGCTGTTTTCCCAGCTTCATTTCCTTATATGAACTGTGTGCTTTTGGGGAGTGAATATTACATATTTATGTGTATATTAATAATAATGTTAATAATGTTCGCATAATATAACATAAAGGACTTTGATGTGGTATGTAAATAGTGTTAAAGTTACAAGATGTAGCCTTCACCCCCCATATATTAAAACTAAGATGTAAAAACAGCCTGTCTCCTACTGCAGTTAAGCTCTGCCCATTTACAATGAAGTTATAAGGAGTGTTTAAGCCTGGCACAATACAGGACAGGTAATTAGAAGAGGGGTCATTTAATTAAGACCTCATTAATTAAGAATTCATACACATATCATAAGTGGACCTAAGTGGAAAGAAATACACACAAAAACACAATAAAGATTCCAGCAGTTCTAGATATTCTAGAAATCTGATGCAGGTGTACAGCAGAACTTTGCTAAACTTTGACCAACTTAGTACACAAACATTTGTAGTACTCGGTGCTATATTAGTAAGAGTATTACAGAATCTTAAGAGATTTTAAAGAGGTGACAGGGTGTAGACATAAGCTGTTACATGCTTTATTCATAAACCGATTAAGGGGGAATTCCACCCATTTTTTCAAAATTTAAGCACCGAGATGTAAACAAAGGCATTCAGAGTGGATTAATATGAAATGGTTCACTGCAGATCTTTACAGTAGTTGAATGGGAATCTGGGGTTGTGACACCTACAGCGTAAATGAAGCCATTTTATTACTATTCAGAACAACCAGTAAACCTACATGTGTCTACACGTGTGTTTTCATAGATAATGCTGATGAAGGTCTGTCTTACACACAAATATCCCTCTAGGATTTAAAAATCTACACTGTAGCCCCGAAGCTTATATCAAAATTATTTTAAAACGTCTCCTGAATAAGGTTTTTCATTAACTTTCTGCAAGGGAGCTTTTAGAGGCTTTAAATGCTTTAGACGTCTGGTTCCTATCAGCTCCACTGGGAACAATTCTAACCCCAAGTTTCAGTACAAAGTTTTCAAATCAAATCGCTCGGAATGATTTTGTTTACATTTTAATAGTTTCGAAAATTTTGTGGAATTCCTTTTCAAGTAACACTCCTTACCAAAAAAGAACAAAAAACAAAAGTTCACCATTGTGGTTTTCAGTGCTTTATTTGAAAATGTATTATAAACTTGCTTTTTTAAAGAGACATGGGGTGGGTAATATAGCAAAAATATAATATCACAATACTTCAAGACACTTTCTCAATTTACATAATGACATTTAGCTTTTCAGAGGTTTGATAAGTCGGTACAGACAATGATTTTTCTTTAAAGTTTCACACACTACACTGAACTAAATTAAAAGACTAATTATGCCGTTTTAATGAAAAATGTAGCTGGTCCACGCTCTTTAAGTACTGACAATATCCATATTAAGCACAATGAGACCTTATTTTACACAATAACAATAAATATCGTTATACTGCCCACCCATACACAAACATAAACAGATTCCTTGTGTTATTGATAAATAGATTACAGCTTACAAGGCTTTCTATCTTCAATCTTCAGTTTAGGCTTTAAAATGTGCCTGAGATCGGAAAACGAAAAAGACCGGAAACAGAGCATTTGTATCAGTAGAAAAGAAAAGATTATTTTTAACTTATTTGTTATTTAACGTGTTAGCAGCATAGCTAACTTTGTGTTACTTTGACCGTTACTCAGCAAGTCAGCTAGGCTAAGTAACGTTAGCTAGCTAGCTTAGCTACTTTCAAATGAACCATCCGGTGTTAAGCTACCAATTTAGCTACTTTTTTGGACAAACCTTAGCTATTTTCCAAAGCAGGGAGTCTCCAGTCCAGCCCTGGCTCTAGCCTGTTCACATATTCAGTCAGCACGGCCGCTAACATAGACGTGAATGAGTTCATGTGCAAACAGTAATTTAACTAAATCGTTTTGACCATTAACTGTCTTATCGCTATCACACAGGGGTTTAGTTCATTTCTGTTTCTGAACTCTCTGAATTCACAGCCGTTTTCTTTTAACTATGAGTGATTTTGTCAGACGATGTTGTGGTTATAGTTATAATCTGAATTTTAGTGGAGCAGCGACTTGGAAGTAACAGCTGGTTAACATGTCCTAATGGGCCGCGTTTCAGTTACTATGTCATACTCATCCCCTTGTCTAACAACAGAAACAGAAAAATATGTAAACGAGAAAGGCTTTACTGGAAATTTGTCTGTATTCAAATACAGTAGGCCTATATTTTTGAGCACAGATAGTAGGAGAGGAGCAACCACGTGTAAGGGCTGACGCAACTGCGTCACGAATATGCTAATTGTGAATGGCGTCATCTAGTTACATTAAGCGACTTTTCGAGCACGCTTTAGCTACTTTCCATTGAAAGTAGTTGACAACACTGTGGCCACGTCGTGAGAAGGGTCTAACTGCAGAGCCGTAGTACCGCACACTCTCAGCTCCGGATACCATGTTAAACAGCGGTCGAGGGCGCGGAATGTAGTGCGTAACGTTTTTAGAAACCCTTAAACGCTATGGCTGAATCTCAAATGGCTCCCTACTCCCTACAGAGTGCATGTGTATAGTTCAGGAAACGATGGCTTCTGTGCACGAATACTGCTCTAAATGTTAGACGGGGAGTCTTGTAGCTAGAGTCTAAATATAAATGGCTTTTTTGGGCATATAATTCAGTTGAATATAGAATCTATTATTATACGACCTACGCTGTACACTACATAGGGAGTAGAAAGCAAGGAGATCCAGCCTGTGTGATCGTGATATAAAACACGAAGTCTGGTCGTCGAGCATTGGCTGGTAGACAACGAGATAAAAAAAAAAATGTTACCATAAATACAAATAGTTTCTTTATTATAACTCTCATCTAATAAAAGTAACGTAGTAAAGTTCAATTCACCGTTTACTCCCGCAGTCATCAGAGCCGAAAGTGCGGCTACAGTTACTAAACAGGGGCGCGGGGAGCTGAAAGTGCGAGTCTGGAGCTAAAGCTACCGTGCTGCGGCTCTGCTGTTGGATGTTACTGCATCTCGCTCGTCTTACAGCATAAACCGACAGGCGTAACTACTGAAGAGAAACATTTATTACACCGGGACATCGAGGGCTGCTTAAATCAAATCGAAACGGTCCGCTTTCACCGCACCGGCACACGCACGGCTCTCTTGACCCTCTGCAAATGGCCCCGTTCTGTTACCGAGCGGCCGCGGGCAGGAGAATCAAACCGGCGCATGCGCACTGCCCGGGTCCGAGTGCCCGATACAAGATGGCGGAGTCGGTGGGGAGGGAGAGGCGGAGGCGGGTCCGGACTGAATAGAGCAAAGCCTGTACAGGACTCCGAGCAAACCTCTCCAAGGTAAGGCATTCAGCTATTTAAGAGGCACGTTGCGGCAACAGACATGCGGCGGAATGTACGGCGCACACGAACGTGCAGCCAAACTTTGCAGGTCTGCGCCGAGCGCGGAATAAACGGGCGATATTCCGCGCAGGGAGCGCGGAGGCTCAGCCCGCCATCTTGTCTAATGTTTCCCTGATCCAAAGTGCGCGCCTAAAATCGGCTTAGTGACAGACGAGCACTGGCCGGGCTTAAATCTTCCACTTTTCCCCCCTTTTAACTATCCGTCCTGGTTGGTTTTAGATATCACTTGCCTCGAACGGCCCGGCATTTGTTCATGTTTTACCTCTTTTTTCCCCCCTCAACGTATCCCCCATCCGGGTTCGCTGGTGCTGCTGCTGTCGCCTTTGTTGTGCTGCCCGGCGCTCTCTCCCTCCTCCTCCTCCGTGTTTGTTTTCGGCCGGCTCGATTCTGGGGTGGGCGCTGGAGCAGCAGCAGGCGCATGCGTGCGCTCATTTGCGCTCTTAACGACTTTTAAAGGCAGCGAAGCTTCGGAAAACCGAGCATTTTTCTGTCTGAATGCTTCATTTAATGCCCTTGGTCGTTCATATAACCACGAAGCTTAAGTCAGCTTCCTATTTGCCAGCTTCTTGTTCAAAATTCCCCGTTCCACCTTAAACGGTGCAGCAGTTAACGTTACATTCTGGCGCCTCGTTCTGCTGCACCGTTTAAGGTGGAACGGAAAAAAATCTTGCAAGAAGCTGACGAATGGAAGCTAAATTCAGTCTTGTCACATAACCGTCAATTAACGTTATGAATCGTCCTGAAAACAATAAAACAATCTCTCGTTAGCTTACGTGCTAGCAGGCTAATCACGGACGAGTTGTTTTCGTTCCAGGACGAGCACCACCTCTGTAGACACCTTAATTTAGAGTCCCGTACATGACATTTATTTAAGACCTTTTTACACATTAAGCACACATTTTTGCACAACAAGGACTGAATCGTACTGTATTACAGTAGCTACCCTGTTAACTAGCTAAGTAGCTAGATGTTTTGGTGACGTGCTTGGTCTCCCTGAATGAAGTGTTTTGGCGCCTCTCTGTAAAAGCTCCAACTCCGTGTGAATATGTAAGCGAGCTGATGTCCTGTTTACAACAGGGCTTAACTTGATTCAGTGGTTTCAAGTCAGATCATTAAAACCAAATGATTTCGTTTGTATGAAAGTGCAAACTGCAGATGTTTACGTTTGCATACTAATTAGTACATAAGCCAGTCCTAAGCTGACCCTGTAAGGCACTTATTTCATTCTTGTTTGTGTAAAAGGCAGGACAGATGAGGAGCTATGACCAGTGAAAACCACGGAACAGTAAAGGGAGACTCGGGAATGGTCATGTCACCCACCGGGTCCTCTTCACAAGCTTCTCCCCTCACACCCTCCACCAGCAAACCTATCCAAGAGCTGCCAGGTGTGTGTTTGTCTGAATATCATGGTTACAGTTAGTGCTGGGCAATCCTGATACAATTTAATAAAACATAAAATTGCACCGTATTGTAAACATTAAAGGGGAGTTCACCCAATTTTTCAGCATTTCTTCCTTTCTTGACATGCAAGCAGTCATTGAGTGTTTTGATATAAAATGGCTTGTGGAGAAATTTTTTTAACTCTGGTTTCTCTACAGCAGTGGTGATTGGAACCAGGAGTTGCAATGTTTACAAAACATATAGGCATTTTATTTATTATCCAGATTGACCAGTGAACCTAGTTTTCATATGTAATGTTGATAGTAAAACAGTGGCAGATTAAAAAAAGCAAGTTTTCTTTGGGGACATCCATCCATCTTACCTCTTCAACGTGAATTCACTTTAGAAATACATTTTAGTCCAAAAGCTTTTGTCAAAACTGTTATAAAACAATGTCTAGACAGTGTAACAATCATAACAATTTCTTGTAATAATTTAGTGGGAACTTTTATAGGCATTAAACGCTTCAGATATCTGGTTCTTATCACCACCACTGTGAACAGTAATGACTCTTCAGGTTTTTCTAGATTTGCACGTTTCACATCAAACCACTCTCAATAACTTTCAATACAGAATACAATGCAGAAATTTAGTCAAGTTGGTGGAATATCCCATAAAAATTATATATAAAGAAAAGTTTTTAAACTGTTTTTTTTTAAATCCACCTTAAGCACTGAACGAATGGTATACATTGTAGTTAACTGTTAGATCATGGATATGGTCATTGCTGTACACAACATTGTTTTAAGCTGATTTTAATACTTTCTGCTTGGCAACAGGGACACCAAGTTTTATATCATTAATATAATGCTCATTACCTAGCAAAACTGAAAAACCACTTCACAGTATGTCAGATTGACAATATACTGGTGTAGTTGTAATGTCATTCAGTACTAATTAAAGGCCTTCATCTCTAACAGAGAACTGTAATGATAAAGAGAACACAAAGTAAAGTATTGGCATAACAGGTTGCCTGTAGTTCTGGTTATGTATTGTTTTATAACTCTGTGTAAATGATATCCTCACTGTATTGAAGAGGACTGATATTTAGGAATTTTTGAACTTTGAATTAAAAAATATTTACGTTTTTTTGTTAAGTGAGTCTGGTCATTCTCTCAGATGAGCTGATTCAGGCTGGGTGGGCGAAATGTTGGAGCAAGAGGGAGAACAGGCCGTACTATTTCAACCGCTTCACCAACCAGTCGCTGTGGGAGATGCCAGTCCTGGGGCAGCATGATGTCATCGTAAGTACAAAGTGAAGCAGAAAATTTCAGTTTCTTTTTTTAAAGCATATTTTCTGAGCATTTTTGCTAAAACTATATATGTAAGTAAAGAACAGTTTAAAAATCTCTTTTTAAACTACTAAAAAGTGTGCTTAAATACATTTAATATACTAATTCATAATATGCATGACAACCTGAGAAACTGGATGCAGTTCTGTAATTTGTAGATGTCTGTGGGATTTTATTTTTTGTAATATATTTAACTTTGGAAGCACAAAGTTCTCAAAGTGATTTTCAGTATATTCGTTTAAAGGTGACGTGTCAGATTTAGGACATAATTATGTTTTTCTCATCTGGCATTGTTATTTATTTGTAATGAATGTCAAACTTTCAGCAAGGAAATGTGTGAGCCTCTAAGGTTTGTCGTTTTCACTGATGTAAATTTTAATTGTATTTGAATAAACTGCGCATGAGCACTGAACCTGATAGGATTGTGAAGCTGGATCAGAAATAATGAGCTGTGAAATGAGCTGTAGTAACGTGTTAGTTAACGATTCACTGAATATTTGAAAGATTCATATGTTTAAGATCAAACATCCTGTCAGCCCACTTACCATCTCTTAAGCAAAAGAGCTTGAAAAAAAAAGGCAGACTATGATTTTCTTTCTTGTTTTGTCTGCATCTGTGACCAGACAGTGTTTCAGTATTGATACTCTGCTAATTTTGGCTCTGCTGCTGTTTCAGTCTGATCCTCTGGGCTTGAATGCAGCTCCTGCCTCAGGTGAGGGGGCAGGGGATCCCGGACTGGGCAATGGGCAGCGAAAGAGACGCCCATCGGAGGAGGCCTTCCAAGGGGGTCCTAACAGCTTCAAGAGGCCAAGGGTCAGGTTTTTTTCCCACAAAGCTGAATAGAAAGCGTTTGAGTACAGTTTTTAAAAAACATGTATAAAATATCACCACTTAGTGCTGTTGTATTAGATCTTTGTATGGTTTTAGATTAGTAGTACTGTATTTTCCTTTTGTATGGCAATGTCAAAAGTATACTTTGATGAAAGATTACAAAATAACAACGATATAATATGATGAAGCATGCTTAAATTGACCAGTTACGTAAATTAATGGTGTAAATTCTGATTTCAGGTTCACTTTAGTGATCATTTAAACCATTTTTTTAATGCAGGTTGAGATACCTGTAACTCCAACCACCCCAACAATACCGATATCACCCAGCACACCTGGAGCAAAGCCCTGGAACTCCACTTCAGATGACAAACAAGGCCAACCCAACACCCCGGCCCCGGCCCCATATCGGCCATCTGTGTAAGTGCACCAAATCAGCCCATCAGACTGACCACTATTTTCCTAACCAGGGCTTTTTAGAGATTTTCTGTGTTGCGTACGTTGTGCTTATATCATACCCATGATTCCATTATTTTAGGATCTACTGGGACCTGGATGTTCAGACCAATGCAGTGATTAAAGAACGAGCCCCATACGACTACCTCCCTCCCCACCCTGAGATCGAGCTGCAGCGTGCCCAGCTCACCACCAAACTACGCCAGCATTACCACGAGCTGTGCTCCCAGCGCGAGGGTACGTACATACCTTTGAGCCTAACCCCACTTAGGCTAGTCACAAATCTTTATCTGACTGTTATTAGTCATGAAAGAGCGATGGCAATGATCTGGTAGCAGATATCTGATCGTCATCAGCAGAAAATGCTGAATCTGTTGTTGGAGGAAAAAAATAATGAATCTGATCGGATCCTGCAACAGGTCTAGCCTGAAGTGGCACTCATTGCGGTATTGCCTTTAAATTGCTTTGTATTTGCCTGGATCTGTATAGTGTTTCACAGCTGTTTAAGCCCTTTAGATATGTGCTTCTTAGAGCTTATTATTTAATTTGCCGATAACATTTGTCATTATTTCATCTAAAAGGCTGCTCTGTCAATAGTAACCAGTCTGAATCTGGTCCAGTGCTGTAACCAATCTGTCCTGAAATAGCACACACTCATACAGTGTGATGCAATGTTGTTAGCTGTGTGGTTCTTTCTGTGGGCTACTGGAATCATTAAGTAGTTTGATAAGTGAAGTGTGTCAATTAAAAGTAGCTCATTGTAAGGCTTTTTTTTTTTTGTAATTTTTAAAGTACAAATTGGATCGGCTTTGGCTAATCCTCAGGGTGTCAATATCTGTATCAGTAAAGAAAGTGGTATTGTGCCATGTCTATCATGCACATAATTGTGATTCATAATTTATTTTTTTTAATATTTTGTATTTTTCTTGTCACTTTTGCAGTATAATCCTAATAACGGTGTGACTCTGTGATAGGAGTAACTCAGCAATATCTAATGATTAAATTTAACGAATGTGGAAATTGATTGTGATCATTTCAAGTAATTGTGACAATTATGTAATAATCATGGCAGGCCTAGCATCACTGTAGCATGATGTAGCGTGATGAGTGTAAGCCATGATGCAATAGAAGCTATTAATGACAATGTTTTGCAAATTGTTGGAAGAAGTTTTCCACAATTAACTCAATAATGCATCCTGGTAGTGTGTCAAGAGACTTCATATGAAGTCCACATACTACACTCTTTAAAGGTTGCTAAATGGTTCTTGGCATAAACATTCGGTCCAAAAACCTAAATTGATATAAAACATCTAGAGTAAAAGGTTAAAACAGCTGTTTGCACATCCCATTTACAAAAATAGATTTTACAGAATAATTTGAAAGGTTCTTTAGGGAACCAAAAGCTGTTCTCTGTGGCATCGCTGCAGAGTTCCCTTTCTGGCACATTTATTTTTAAGAGTTTGTGCAGAAGCAATGCCAAAGTTCTTCACTGGAAATAATTGCAAGAGAAAAGAGAGTGGATGTCCCCTCTGACCATGCATGGGTCCTCTCAGGGTTAAAATATTGTTTTTGAAGTACTATGTACATGCCTGAATCTTTAGTGCCTTGCAGCTGTTGAAGCTCTGTAGATATTTGCTTTTTAGAGCTTTTTTGTGATTTGATGTAATTTAGTAATTATCATTTCAGTTGTCAATTTATCTATTGCATTAATGTGGTCAAATAATCTAAAGTCTGCCCTGTTAAAAGCAACAGGTTCAGTTATCTATTTTTGTCATGTTTCAAGTTATTTTGTGACTGATGTCTATTTAAAATCTGAAAACAGTAATATCTTTCAAAGGGCACTACATCTTTATCGTTAATATACTTTTCAAGTTGAGAACAGTGATGTGGACTAATCTTGGTTAACCTAATTTCTGTGTTTAAGGGTTCACAGATTCTTCTGTATGTTCTGCTTGATTAAGGGTGAATTGAATTTAAACCAGATAGGTTGTTATGCTAAATGCATCAGCTGGGATGTGTAGCCTTAGAAATTTTCTTACACTGAGTAAGTAAAAATACTAAGAACATTTAATTCCCTCTCTAAGCAGTCTGGATTTCTTGAAACAGATTACTTTAATAAATGCACGACGAATACACTGATAAGCCAAAACATTATGACCACTCGCAGATTAAGCGAGTAATGTTGATAAACTCGTAACAGTGGGGCGTGTCAAGGTCTGGGATACGTTTGACGGTAAGCGGACAGATGGTTCTTGTAGTCGACTGACGTGGTGAGAAATACGCAGGTGTCCACACCTGAGCAACTCTGACAAGGGCCAGATCATTATGGCTGGACGACCAGGTCGGAGCACCTCCAAAATGGCACAGTTTGTAGGGTGCTCTCTCTCAGTAGTGAATCTACCATCGGTGGCCCGAGGAGAAAGAAACCACAAACAGGCAACAGGAGGTTGGGCGCCCAAGGCTAATGGATATGTGAGGGTGACGAAGACTGGTCTGAACTGACAGAAGAGCTACTGTGACACAAATCACAGAAATTTTTAATGATGGTTATGGGAGGAATGTGGCACAACACCTAGTTGGGGCTTCATAGCCACAGACTGGTTGAGTGCCCATGCTTACTCCTCAGTCAAAAGCACCTACTTTGGGTACACCAGCATCGCAGCTGGACCTTGGAGCAATGGAATAAGGTCGCCTGGTCTGATGAGTCCTGTTTTCTTTTACATTACATGGACTACTGGATACATGTTTCATGTTTACTTGGGGAAGTGGTGGCACCAGCGGGAGTGTGATGCTCTTTGTAGAGTCCTTCCATTCATGTGGATGTCAATTTGACACAGTCCACCTACATAAACATGATCATGGACCAGGTACACCCCTTCATGGCAATGACATTTATCAATGGTATTCCCTGCATCTGTTTTGGCTCATCAGTGTGTATTGCATAGTAAGGAAAATAGGTTTGAAGAGCACCGTATATTTAAATTCTGTTCATTTCTGCATTAGACTTTGTTCCACACCTTTCTCAGTAAGGTATGAAGGTGACTGTGGTGAGAGTGAGGAGGCAATTATCAGGCCTGTAAAAGAGATCTTGACAGAGTGCCACCGTTTTTGCATTTTTTTTCCTGCTCCCAAATTATCATGTTACTTCATAGTGTCATTCAGTTTAGACTTGTCCCTTAAATGCTCTCTCCTCGCGATAGAACATCACACTCAATCACTCATGTCAGAAAGAATGAGTTTATTAATGACAGGAGCCATTGTGGCTGTAATGTTTTAGTGAAAGGTGTGATGTCGAGGCGTGGAGTGCAGAGCAGTAGGCATAACCGCAGGGCATGAGTCATGCTTTCTGCATATCATGTTCAAAAGAAAGAATAAGCCATTCCTGCAATACATAATGGGGCTTTTTGTCTCAGTGCGCAAATGATTTGGCTCAAAATTGTGCTGCAACTTTGGAAAAAATGCTTTTAAAAGGTTATGAGAGGTAGAGAGTAGTAACAAAATTCAGAACTTCCAGTTTAGTTTGTGAGATCTAACACATGCACTTTTCCTCAGTTCAGGCTTTATTGTTAAGGCCAGCTTTCCATTGTTAAATTTCCTTTTCTTTTGGGGCAAATTTTGTGTTTAGATTACTGGTACTGTAGTTAAATTGTACCAAATATGTCTTCTTGACATTCAAAGTGGCCAGTGTGATATTTTTGAGGATATCGTCAGTTCTTACAGAGAACACTGAATGACTGCAGGTTTCGTGACAAAAAGAGCATAATTAGTTGTGTGTAAGTGGATTTAGTGCAGTTCAGTATGTGAAACACTGAATGAAGATCATGTTCATTGTTCTTGAAGGTATTTTTTTAAAACCTGAAACTGGTGGTCCTTGTTTTTCATCTGTTCCAACTTATCAAACCTAAGAAAAATGAAATCATCATGTGTATCATTAAAAAATGATATTGTGATGTCATATTTTTTTATTGCCATATCAGCCAACTCTACTTCAGAGTAGTTATCATAAACATTTTTAATATTGTGATATATTTCAAAATATCTGCTCATTTGTCATGTCTGTATGAACTGAACGAACTAAAAATAGACATCTAACGTGGAGCCCAAACTGTCAAATGCATGTTTTCCTCCTCTCTGCGAAAAGTTTGCGAAAAGAAATTGTTTTTGTTTTTTTAAGGCTTTAAGGCTATATTAGAAACAATATTCTTGCATGTGAAGTGATTTTTTTTTTTAAATACAAATCTGTCTGTTCTTTTATTGCCCCATCCTTAAACAAGCCATATGCTTCAAATAAAGATGTTTTGAAGCAACATCTTTTTGGCCAAATCAACTGGCAACTACTAAACCCAAGGCCTAGTCAGTGCTTCTTTTGTTCTGAGACCTGCTTCTGATTGGCCCAAGTCATGTACAGGCAGTTTACATGCTTCGTGCTCCATTAGGTTAAATCTCCTATTTAAAATGAGAACAATTTTCTTGACCAGCTTAACTAGACAGTAAGAGTTCAGCTTGTTCCTTTCAACCAAGTTAACATTGTTTGATTGACATCAGTGTTAAGCTTTAAATAAGGCTAGAGAGCTGTTTTGTACAAATAATAATAATAATTTCATTAAAAGAAAACACTCTTGGAGTCACAGGCTAATCCTATGGTACAGGTTCTGTTGCCCTATTTGATTTTGTGCTTCTTTACTGAGATGTTGATTTGGACCTTGAAGGGATAGAGCCGCCACGAGAGTCCTTCAACCGCTGGCTACTGGAGAGAAAGGTGGTGGATAAAGGAGTGGACCCCTTGCTCCCCAGTGAGTGTGACCCTGCCGTCTCCCCCTCCATGTTCAGAGAGGTCATGAATGACATCCCCATCAGGTTGGAATCCATTCCAAATTTTTCTGTAAAATTTAGGATATATGTACATTTCAGTTCTTTGAGAACTAACCATGTTCCTTTTCTGGAATTCTAGGCTCTCCCGCATTAAATACAAGGAGGAGGCCAGAAAGCTTTTATTCAAATACGCAGAGGCAGCCAAGAAAATGATTGAATCGAGGTGATAATTCCTGCATAATATAAATGGGAGTTAATGAAATATTGACAGTATTTTGGATGGTGGTGAAAATACAGATGGTGTAACAGCAGCACCTATTTGTCTACAGAAACGCCACACCTGACAGTAGAAAGGTTGTGAAGTGGAACGTTGAAGACACCATGAACTGGCTGAGGAGAGACCACTCTGCCAGTAAAGAAGACTACATGGTATTATCCACACCTTCCTACATACATGTTCCCCTTATTGTTTGGCTTTGCCACCCGAAGTGCTGACTTTGCTGGGTTTTTCTCAGGATCGCCTGGAGCACTTGCGGAAGCAGTGTGGTCCTCACGTGACTGCTGTGGCCAAAGACTCGGTGGAGGGGATCTGCTCTAAGATATACCATATCTCTGCTGAATATGTACGCCGAATCCGCCAGGCCCACCTCAACCTGCTGAAAGAGTGCAACATCACAGGTTGGACAAATATGCGATGAAAGACTACTTGAACTGCTGTTTAGTCTAACAAACATTTTATGCCTCAAGGGATTTATTAGTGCATGCCTTAGCTTACAGTGCCAATAATAATAATATAATAATAATAATGGTAGTAGGAGCAATAACACTTGTTATTGTTTAAAAAACCCAAAGACATTTACACTGGTTGACAGCACAAAAGTATAGTAACATGCCACATTAATTATTGTGAATGGAATTATAGTATATTATTGATAATTTAATAGCTTCTTAATTACTACTTCTTCTTGAAGTACTTCTTTTTAACGTCTTGTTCCCGAACTATTTAAATTTTCACGTTTTAGCTGTCGCTGTATGCTAAATTGGGCCTGACCGATAAAGCACAGACATTTAGTGTTATTTTTTATGCTGTAACAAATATGGTTTTATATATACCAGTTACAAATTGGACCCTAATGTTACGTCTCAAATTATTAAAATGACCAGTCCAAGCTTTACTGCAGGTGTAGCACAAAACAGTTCACTTATTTGAATTATTTCAGAATTACAGCAGCACATACGAGCAATAGAAGACTCAAAGCTGCACAATCCCTGTCTGAGAAATGTTATTTTTATGTTGTAGTGGATGGAGCAGAGAGTACAGAGGTGCAGGGCCGGTTAGTGTATTGCTATCCAGTCCGGCTGTCTATCCCGTCCCCTCCTCAGCCCCGTGTTGAGCTGCACTTTGAGAATGACATGGCCTGTCTGCGCTATAAAGGAGAAATGGTGAAGGTCAACCGTGGCCACTTTAATAAACTGGTAGGATTCTCTTATAGACTTTTATAAGGACCAATTTAGGTGATGATGTATATGAAATATTAGTATGATGTTCAAGCGTATGTCTATAAACCCTCAATAGGAGCTCCTGTACCGGTACAGTTGTATTGATGATCCAAGATTCGAGAAGTTCCTGTCACGTGTATGGTGCCTTATAAAGAGATACCAGGTAAGCAGATTTTTATCTTCATACAAAGCGTTTGCATTAAGTTTTTATCTCTTAGGTTACCCATGTTGTCCATGTCTTAATTGCACTTGACGATTGTGTGTTGTAGGTGATGTTTGGATCTGGTGTGAATGAGGGGACAGGCCTACAGGGGGCACTCCCTGTACCAGTGTTTGAGGCCCTTAACAAGCAGTTTGGGGTCAGTTTTGAGTGCTTTGCCTCACCACTCAACTGCTACTTCAAGCAGTTCTGCTCTGCCTTCCCTGACGTTGATGGTTTCTTCGGCTCTCGAGGGTGTGTGCCGAAGTTCTTGCTACTGTCACCTCAGCTGTTCTCTGCGTTCAGTGTTATTAGTGATCAGTAGTTTTATAATGAGTTACTCTGTTTCCTATGTAAATGATTTCGCTGTCTTGTGATTGTTCTATCAGGCCGTTTCTGAGCTTCTCTCCTGTCAGCGGCTCATTTGAAGCCAACCCTCCCTTCTGTGAGGAGCTAATGGATGCCATGGTCACACACTTTGAAGTAAGGGACACTGTATTTATGTCATAGCTTGTCTCAGATGGAAATGTTTTGCATGGAAGTTTATATACACTACTGTTAAAAAGTTTATAATTACTCTTGAGTAATAAGCATGAGCATTACAGTCCATGTCAGGTTCCTACTATTGACTTCTCTCAAACTCTAATGGGGTTTCTATACTTATTATGTCCCGGAAAAGAAGTAATCTTGTTGCTCTTTACTTTACTTCTACATTATTGTACAAAACCTACATAAATCTAAATGAATTACAAAACACATGGACAAAACACACTAGTCAACCCACAAACCCATTAGTCAATAGTTTATGGAAAGAAATAGTCACACTAAACGCATTTCAAATTTCACAAATTCTGCCTCTGCTCAAATTTTACAATACTTTTATATTTAGCATAGCCAGTTATCATAATGTAACTTTGCTTAGCCAGTTATTTGTCAAGTTTACAGCAGTGTAAAGAAGTTTCAAGCTTAGCCATATCTTAAGCTTCAAAACTTCTTTTCTTTGCTTGCAATTAATTAAAACTAATTAGAATTCACTTATGTAAACATCTACTCTCGTCTTACTCGGTCATTGTTCAGCTTAACCACTCTGCGCTGGTCGCAGCTGCAACAGGTAGTGCACAAAATATTGAAAAATGGCAGATACAAAGTAATATATAGATTTAATTACATTTTTCAAGAGATTAAGTGATGCATAATATTAATTGTTTATTTATATGTAATTATCTGTTTGTTATATATTTATTGTGAAGTCTGCCTTGAGATTTAATCACCACTTTTCATATACAAGGGATCCCGAGATGTTAATTTTTTTAACTTCGTTCTCGATTTTTAATGGCTTTCTCGATCATTATCGGATTTCCTACAGCTCTGTTCATCAGTTTGGGCACAACTAATATCTTCATAGAATTGCTCTAGTAACTATCTGTAGTCTAAAAGAATCAAAGGAACAAAAGGAATATCAACAAAAAGTGAAAAAAAATAAAACAGAATAAAAAAGGAATAAGAAAGGAATAAAAAAGACTTCAGCCGCTGAGTTCTTGTGGAAGGAAGGAAAAGGTCTTCTCTTAATTGAGCTTTAAGTGGCAAGATAGTTGCCGGACAACCACAATGCAAAGATCATCTCGAGGCATCCCTTTTTATTACCCATGGGGTGATGAAGTAATCACCCCACCCCTTTTTACACAATTCCATATCATATGGAGATCATAGTCCCCATTGTATTCAAACCCTGCACCCTTTTTGGAAACCCTTAGAACCAAAGCACATGATGTCATTTTTTTAAAAACCATTCTAACCTGGTTGTACCAGGCTGTTTCATCCTCTCAAGGTCATCATACAGCTTCTTCACCCAAGTACATGAGCTCACTTCAGCTATAGTTTATACTGTCATCCAACAGTTCACCTCCTTTCAACCATAACTTGCTGCTACAGTTTGTACAGTTTCTTTTTTGTGAGTTTCAAGAGTTCATCCCCTTCAGAGGTGATATCCCAAATGCATGCAGACTATAGCCTGCTTCCCAATGTTACCTTTTTAGTAGGAGATCTCCAAATACTCAAGTTAGCTAACATTTTAGTTTGTTGATTATTAATCAGGAATGTATCATCAAATCTTTCTGTCAGCAACTTCTTGCGAATAATTTGAAATCATGTAATTGTAACCAGCATCATATAAAAGAAATTATTTTATATTATTGAAAACTGTAGACTGTAGACGGTAGTCAGGGTCGTGGGAAAGGTGTTTCAGGCTGAGGTGCTGAAATTTTAAGCAGCACATACTCATTGCCACTCCCATAGTGACGCGCTGAGGTTCACCACTCGAACGCACACCGAGCAGGAGATATAACAGTTGATTTAAAAAAGAAAAACAAAAATGTAATTAAAACGTGGGCATTACATTAGGATTATTTTTGTAAAAACAATATTAGCCTGCCTTGGTGCCCAGAACATGCCTGTAACCCTGCATACACTTCCCTCTTTGCACCTCAGCTTGCTTGTAGTTAAACAACGTGCACCCAAAGCATTTGGTAGCTGGGGAGGGAAATTGATTTGTTTCACAGTAATGAAACTGCAGTGTTAACTTACACAAGTACACTTAGATCTTTACTACTTTTAAATCAAGTTTTGAAATATGGGAGTTTTGTCACACCCTTAGCACCCCCGCTTCCCGTGTCCCTGGCATGTAGTGTTCTTTTACACAGCAGCTGAGTGTGCAGATAAAACATTCAACAATGCAACCGTCAATTTCTCTTCTCCCCTCACTGCCCATGTGTTTTCATGTAGGACCTTCTCGAAAACTCCAGTGAGCCGCTGTCTTTCATCATCTTCATTCCCGAATGGCGTGACCCCCCAACCCCAGCCTTGACGCGGATGGAGAGCAGTCGGTTCCGCAGGCACCAAATGACAGTACCTGCTTTTGAACATGAGTATCGCAGTGGCTCTCAGCATATCTGCAAGAGGTAAGACTCCTTCCTGCTTTGTATTTCCCTTTAATTTCTCAGAGGTCCATACAACCCTTACTACCTAGTCATGTGAAAAAATTAGGACACCCTATTAAATATTTAGTTTTTTTATTAAGAAATATTGCTATCAAACTGTATCTATAAATAAAGGTGATATTATTACCTTTACAAAAACAATGAAAATTTGGATTTATCATTTACTTAACAAAAAATTCCTACTGATGAAAAAATTAGGACACTCTGTGCCCTAACAGCTGGCATTTCCCCCTTTTGACTGAAATGACCTGAATGAGTTTCTTGTAACCATCTACCGGTCTCTGACATTGAATGGAGCAAAGTTTATTCCTGAAGAGTTCTTTCAGCTGTGTGATGTTTGAGGGGTTTCTTGCCTGAACAGCCTGGTTCAAATCACCCCACAGCATCTCATTAGGATTAAGATCTGGACTTTGACTTGGCCATTCCAAAATTCTGCATTTCTTTCTTTTGAGCCATTCCTTAGTGGATTTACTGGAAAGTTCTGGGTCGTTGTCATGTTGCATGGTCCACCCCCATTTCAAGCCTTTGTCTTTTTTAAAATGTAGCATTTAAAATGTTTTTAACTAGTTTTTTGTTTAATAATGGCAGTAGATTGTATAATTAATAGAGGTGTAATAGTGTACCATGTCCTGAACCATAATGGTTTGGTTCATTCACTCATACGGACAATACACGGTATGTGTGAAGATTAATGAATGTAACGCGAAACCAAATTTCACAAGCGCAAGTTCCACAGAAACCTTAAACTATTAACCTGTTAACCTGGTAGCAGCAGTGGTCCGCAGAAGAGCCTTCGTCTGCACCTAGTGCCAGATGATTCAGTGTATTTAGGGTTCTTATCTTAACTGCAGCTAACTGCATAAAACTTCTTATTCCCGATCAGCTGTGAGGCTGTTTGAGGTGTACAGTGAGCAAGAGGTAAGAAAGGCAGCTCTTAAAGGTAAATAAAAAGAGAGAATTTAAAAAAAGAAACACTCACAATCTGAAACTAAATGAGTGAAATGAGACTTATCCCTCTCCACACCATGCAGTATTTTTGCGACTCAGCACAAAGCCTCACAAATTTTTCTGTTTTGTCTGCTCCTAACTACAAAATCACAACTGGACTATCACCGCACAAATTGGTTAACGTTAGTGACTTTCCCTGTCGAGTGCAAATGACCCACATAGCAGGCTGTACCAACGAAGGTTACCTCAGGGGGCAGTGTACGACACTAGCACTACTGACTGTTCAAAATGAATAAAAAGAAAGCTAGACTTATGCATTTGGGTGTTTTATTGCTTTTTTCCGTTGTACCGATCCTGTATCGAACCGTGATGTCTAAACTGTGGTGTGAACTGAACCATGACTCCTATATACCATTACACCACAAATAATAAATTATATAGTGTGTAGTGTCTTGTACATAAATTCAAGACATAAAATAAATGTAAGAATGATTCATGTGGAGCGGACATGGAGTGGGGTTTCTCGGCCGCTCTCAGTCCTTTTTTAAATATTTCATTCATATTGATTAGGTTCATCATTCTGTTTACATACAGTTAGTTTTAACCCTTCATGATTTGTGGTGTTAACATTGTCAACCAGAAGAGATAAACAGAAAAGACAAAATGTTAATATAAGTTTGCACTACTGTGGAAGTGGCTACTACAGAATAATGCATGGCCTTTTGCTTTTGAAATTCAGAACAGAATTAGCTGCAAGAATGAATGAATAAATAAAATTTGAATAAATACATATGTAACACCAAACTGTGTTCTTAAATAGTTTAAATTCCATTTTTTTTTTTCTTCTATTCTGCAAAATGCTGTGCACAAAAAATTATTTCAACCATTCTCCGATATTGGATTTGAAATGAAACACATTTATTTTGTTCAGAAAGTTTTAAAAGAAATAATTGTACTGTAATGATGAGGCTCAGCAAAGGAATATAGTTATCACAAATCATCATCAGGCCATCTTGTGTATAAGTGCAGAGTGTCTTTCATGTCGATACAGTACTGTGCAAAAGTCAAATCTCTCTGGCTTTTAAGTCTTGTCTAAAGGCTGTTTATCTGGGCAGGAAGAATTTATTTGTTTAAAATAAACTCTAACATTAAATTAAATACAAGGAAACAATAAATGATTGGATGAGCGAGCGTACTTGCTTAACCATTTCCAAAGCTCTCCTTGAGAAAGTCCAGTATTCAATTACCATCCAGTACCTCGTTTATGTGATCAGTCCTTCATTATATTAAATCTGGTGCTGCTGAAGGAACTTAGCAGATACACACAGTTAATCTTTCATTAAGTTCAGCAAGAAATCAGAAATCAAACCTTTGTTCTTCTAACCAAGATATGAATAATTGTTTAGAAAAAGTGCAAACATAGAGAGTGCTGCTAGTAGGAAAAATAAAAACACAAATATTGAAGGTGCTCTGTGGAGTAGCATCCAAAAGTTTGAGGAAAAGTGAATTTCCGTGGCACTTTTTTCACTGTATTAAAAAGCTCTTGTAGGATGACTATGGACAGAAAATCTCTGTATTTTGGCATTTTGTGTCCATTGATATTCTCAAAGAGCAGATCTCCACCTACAATAAAGCTATGAAAATATCCCTTTTTTCCACCATACCGACGATTTAACCCTAACTTTTCTGCTAGTGTGTCTCATAGTGATTTATCTTCTGAAATTTGGTAAGAGTTTGCAGTTTATTTTCAAAATAAAATAGCCTTGATAAAAGAGAGCATAGCTTAACCAGCTGAAACAAGCTTCTGTAATCTTCCTGATAAGCCACCTACATCAATAATGATGTCTTTCTCTGTCATGAATTATTGGGAGCTTACAACTGTTATAAACAAACTAAGTTCATCCACGTGTGATCTTGACCCTGTTCCTACTTCTGTCCTTAAGATGGTTTTTGATTATGTTCAGAGTGATGTTTTAACTATTGTAAAAGTGGTTCCAGACGCTTTTTAAACTGCACTGGTGAAGCCTTTGCTAATAAAGAGTAGCATGGATCCCTCCATACTAAATACTTTTAGACCAATTTCAAACCATCCTAGAAAAAGTTGTTTTCAAACAAATGTGTATCTAATATCACACAAGTTATATGAGAAGTTTCAGTCAGGTTTTTGTTTAAACCACAGTAGTGAGACAGCATTGGTTTGACCTCAGGCTCAGCGCTGATGCACAAAATACTTCTCTTCTGGTTTTAGTGGATCTTAGTGCAGCTTTTGATACTGTTGATCACTAGATTCTAATCCACTGTCTTGAACATTGGGTGGGCTCTTCGGGCACAGTTCATGGCTTGGAAATCATTCATCAAAAAATGTTTAAACTTCTTGTGGAGCTTTTCTCTTTGTACATGTTACCTCTAGATAATGTCATTAGGAAATAAAATATCGTTTTTCATAGTTATGCTGACGACACACAATAACAAGACTGTTGACAGGCTGACCAGCTGTGTGTGAGAGATTTCTCAGTGGGTGTCACGAAGTTTTCTACAACTAAATCACGCAAAAACTGAAATACTAATCGTTGGTACTAAAACTCAGAGAAAGCTGCTTTGAGAAACTTGGTTCTTTAGCTTCATAAACCAAACCTGAAGTACGAAACCTGAGTGTGATCTTAGATTCTGAGCTCTGTTTTATCCTGCATGTAAACGCAGTCACTAAAGTAGCTTTTTATCATTTGAGAAATATCGCTAAAGTTCGGCCTTTTCTGTCTCAGAGTGACGCAGAGAAACTTGTTCATGCGTTTGTTACAGCAGAGTTGATCACTGTAATGATCTTACTGGACTAGGAAAACAGTTCATCCTCTACAACTCGTACAAAATGCAGCAGCACAGATTTCTAACAAAAACAAACCGAGAGATCAGATCACTCTCGTTTTGAAAGAACTGCACTGACTGCCTGTACCTTTCAGGATAGATTTGAAAGTTCTGCTGCTAGTTTTTAAGGCTCTAAATGACCTTAAATCACCACTTACATCACAGAGTGTCTGTCTGTTTATGGTCCAGCATGTCATCTTAGATCTGCAGATACTGACCTTCTGCGTACACCTTCTGTAAAATACAGAAAGGAGAGACTCGCTCAGTTATTCTGCTTCTAAACTGTGGAACTCAGATCACCTTTTAGACAGTCAAGCTCAGTGGTCACTTTTAAGAAACATTTAAAAATGTGTCTCTTTAACTTAGCATTTAATTAGAACTCTTCGTCTCTTGGTATTTATCTTTTTAATTTGATCTTTGTTGTTTTCTTATATAATTTAAAATTAATACTCATAATTTCTTCTATTCATTTTAAGCCCTATCACTTTGAGCTGCTACAGGCATGAAAAGTGCTGTATAAATAAAGATTATTATTATTATTATTGCCATGCTACAATAAAGGGTTTTTAATGAAGATGCCGGTGCTGTGGATACTCACTTTTTCTCATGTTCACAACAGTTTTAAAAAAACTAAATATATAAAAAGAATTATTTCTCTATTTGTTTCCGTTTCCATTTGTTCAGTTTTAAACAGCTTTTATGGCTGCCCAAGATTTTGCACAGGCCAGATTTCTTCCCAGGGATTAATAAAGTACATCTATCTATTTGTTAGAGGTGGTGATATGTTTTATATATAAGTTGGAACTGACAAAAAAGTACCAATAGTCCCACATAAACTAAAAAAAAAAAAATTGCAAACTATAATTACAATGTTTCATTTCACACACTACGCTGCACTAAATCCAGTTCAACAGGTTTAACATGCTATAGTTGTAAGGAAACATGCAGTTTATCAGTGTTCTGTACTTATGATATTGATGACATACTCTGAGAAATGTGACATAACCTGTAGCGATAATGATAAATATTGTCATATTGCTCAGTCCTACTCTCTGTCTGTCAATTTAACGATTTTGTCACCTCGTTTTATTTTTCAGAGACGAGATGTACTACAAGGCCGTTCATGGAACAGCAGTCATCTTCCTGCAGAACAATGCTGGCTTTGCCAAGTGGGAGCCCACCACAGAGAGGATTCAGGAGCTCCTGGCGGCCTATAAGATCTCCGGACGCTCACTGTCCTCTCCTGGGCCCTCCTCCGCCAGTGCCGGAGACAAAGACTCCAAACCAGGCCACGAGCGCTCGGCAAGCCTGGACGTTCCAGGAAGCCGAGACAACAGCAGTCCTGTAGACAAGACTGCGCCAGAAATGGCAAACATTTAGATGTGTGAATGTGTGCGTACGTGTGAGTGAGCTTTGAAACAGTGCTTTTGGGTTGAGACTGACTCTCTGCATGTTAAGTTCATGAGTGAGAATAAAGGAGAGCGAGTGAGAGAGCGCGAGAGAGAGAGAGAGAGAGAGACTCATACTTATTTACTTTTTTCTGCCTCAACTATTTAAAGAGTTATTCTGGGTTTTTATTATTAATGTCATCATAGTTGTTGAGGGTTTTTTTTTTAATCAATGTAGTGATTGTTTGGTCACTAATTATTACATTTTGTTGTTGTTACCGTTGTCGTCTGTATAAGACGTGGTAATTCTGGTCAAGTCCTTTTGTTTCTTTGGCCTTTTTAACTTTGTGCTTTGTTCCCTGGCAGAGTTGTCGGTCTGTCAGGTCGAGAACTGAACGTTGAGGATGGAGGGCAGCGTTTCTTGGAGTTGTGCATTCTCGTTTGGGTCTGTTTTGTTTCTTTCTTTTCATGGCAACAGGAGGGAGGTGGACCAGAGAGTAGGCAGCTATGTTTATAAGCCTTTAAGATGATGCACATTACAGAGTAGTTGTAGGATTTGTGCGTAGTTATTACCTGTGCTAGAGCCAGTTCATTTTACGCTCCTGTGTGTTGTAGAGGCTCCTCCAAATGCCCTCGCAAGCCCCAGTGGTCCCTCTTCTGGAACAAGGCACCAGGAGAACTAAACTCTCCTGGGGGTCAAAGCTTGGTCTACATGGTTTCTTCAAAACTGAAAAATCGCAAAAGAGGCAAAAATAGCAAACATAGCAAAAAAAAAAAAAGGTCAGTTTTGTTTATTTTCAAATAGATATGGTTGTATGTATTGTAAAGTAGTTTCCACAGTTCGTTTTCCTTCACTTTTGGTCGATGTTTTGTTCCTAAAATATGCACAGAGGATGGTGATAAATCCAACTGACATTGTTTACTTGTCCGTAGGAACATGGTTCACTTTTTTATATCTCTTTTTGAGCTGTAAAGTACGTTCTTACGAAAGCTTTGGTATGTCTTACTGCGACAAACAGGAGCTCCATTTAAACAGAAGAAATGACAGAATCTAAAACTTGTCCCCTCTGATGAATTTAGAGAAACTTTCCAGAAAGGTTTCAGATTAGTCAGTGGCATTTGTACATGGTAATTTACTTCCACTAACAATGTGTCACCCCTGCTTCTTTTTGAGTCTACCTCTCATCTCTGAAGCTTACAAGAGCAAGCAATAGTTAAACCTAGAATTAAAAGAAGGAAAAGCTTACAAGTGGTTTGATATTGCATGTTAGCAATAGTGATTATTTTATCCATCCATGGTTTATTGGTTCCTACACTCTTCATTGTGTCCTCAGAAGATTAGTAGAGTACAAAGGCATAAAAGTGCTAAATGTCATGTTTTTTTTATTCTTCTTCTGTGATGTTACAAATGTTTATTTGTTTGTTTACTCCAGAACGAGATTAATCCTGATCACTGGGCAGCATATTGAATGTAAATTAACAAGAAAAGAAAAAGGGGGGCCAAGGACTCCCTGTCATTTCTTGTTGGATTCATGAAATTTCTTGTTAAAATTGGCTTCGTTTGTTGCTATTAGTAACACACTAATGTGGTTGAGTTTTTGGGATCCTGTATGCTTATATGTAGTATCTTCTATCTGTTGTATATTCTCACCTCCCTCTGTATATACCCGTTTTCTTTTATGTTTCTCCTTTTTTCATTAAGTAATGTATTGTAATGACTTCAAAAGGCTTGGGGAAATGGCTCATGTGTTCCTGCTGTTAAAGCAGTATGTCATTCTTTTTAGATTCATAACGTAACCTGGCTCGACATTGTTAACCTCCAACTCGCCGAACTACTCACCCTCTGAATTCCTTATTTGAGCATTTAACACCAGATGGATTCTCATTCCTGGGGTGTTTTTTCTGTCACCAGCAAAACTGTAGATATTGTACAGAAAAGCATTATGAAGTATGATTGATTTTTTTTGTTTTGTTTTTTTTTTGTAGTGCGCTCATATGGGAAAAAAAAGTATTGTACATGTCTTTTTCTCCATGCTTTTTATTTGTTTTTATTTAACATTTTTTAAACAAATCTGTTTATGAATTATACAATTTATAAAATAGAAGTCATTTTAAACTAAACCAAAGTGATAACTAAAGAGGAGAAATTTATCTTGTATGTAAAAGTAGAGCTGTGTATGAACAGTAATGCATAGTGTAACCAGCAAATGACTCATTATTTTTATAAGTCTCCTTGTTCAGTTTTTTTTTCTGCATGATCAGAAACTTCACAATCAGAAATAATTACATGTAGCTTCATTATTGCATTAGCTTGTAGGCGTTGTCACGTCTGTCTTTAATGATGGATTTGCATATATTTCTGTCCGATTGATTTTTACCCCGTCACTGTTGCATTCGTTTGTTTTATTGGCTCTAAAGCATCATGAATGTCTTCTAATTTTGATGGACAAAGATGGAATGAATGTAAATAATGTTTGTGCTTAAATCGTTAGTTTCCTCTTCCTGTATATTATCAATGTTGTGGCATTTCTCATCTTCTGAATCAATATGAAGATATACATTTGGGTCAGTTTGGCTCTCAGTAAACTCTATTGAAACCATGTACCCCTGCGTGTGTGGTGTTTTGTCCCCTCTTCCCGTCCACCATACGGTATGATAGCTGTGTCTGATTGTGACAGAGGTGGGCAGAGTAAAAAAGAAAACGAGGTCAAGAAAGTGCTCCAGTACTCTGTACATTCAGCATCTATGAGTGTAGAAAATGATGAGCTGTTACTTTTTTTTTGTTTTTATGGGGGGGGGTTTCTTTCAGTCTGAACTAAAATGTTTGACTGTCAACAAAGGAGTTATGACATAATTACACACAAAAATAGTAATTAAATATGAATTAATAAATTCAAACTCAGTATGCTGTAGATCCTTATTCATAAATTTGTATGCAAATGTTTGAATACCTTGATCAAATTACATGATCTGTTGATTTTCTAAGTGAAAACAAGTTAACAAATGCTCTACAGTAAACAACTAAAATTTTCTCCTAATCTTAGAGTTTACTAATTATTTTTTTTAAATTTGACATCCTGCAAAAAAACTAAAACAATATTAAATGTGCCATAACCTTTGTACATGCCATGTTTTGACAATATATAATAAAATGTGTTCAGCAAACAGCGATTTTGCCATAAAGTGTGCAGAACTGGTCTGCGTAGAGGATGTGTGAACTTAGTTACACCTAGAAAATCCACATAACATGATTTGATCAGGGGTGTCCCAACCTTTGCATGTGACTGTATATACTTGAGTTTAGGACAAATACAGTTTCAAACAAAGTTTTTGGCTAGAAATGGAAAGCAGTCACTAAAAAGGGTATTTCAATGATTTATCAAAAAAAATCTGCATAATTAAAGCTGCGTCATTACGTTAAATACACAAATTGACTGGCCATCTCAATGAAAAATAAGATTTAAAATTTATTATTGTTTATTATTACATATTTTTTGCAAAGGTAATACACAACACATTTTTTATGATCAGATATTTTTAAGCACAACACTGCATCATTGAACAATTACATTTTATTTATTTTCTCATTAACTAGTAAAGCTACACATTCTGAACTATTATCGTTTTAAGCAGTGTACTGGTAGTTGACATACTACCTAGCATTAACTGGCCGACAATTAGGTACAAGCATGCATTTTAGCATTTGAATCACTTTTCAAAAGTTGCTTAAAGTTTCAATGAATTTTAAAAGTAAATTTGTTGTTAGGTGCTTTAAAAACAGGGTAGTTTGAAAAGTTGCTAAATCTAGCAACAATATAAGTTGACTTGCCACAACTGTAATTTTTTTTTATTACCACCAAAAAGCAACAAGAGTTCTTGAATAACATTCAAGAACCGAAAATATACATACATTCATTGCCAGTGTACACAGAGAAAATAATGAAAAAAAACATCCATCACATTATATTAAATTCTTTAACTGCATTGTTAGACATTAGGGCTTTCTTATTTTTTCAAATATTGTATAAGGATGACATATTGTTTGAAATCTTCCAAGAAGTGTATAGAATTAGGTTTGGAGAGAGACCATTTTACTTTATGAATATGAAACTTCCCTAATATAAGAATCAGCTGTATATAGGTTACAGTTTTCTTAGTTTAAACTTATCACATCTAAGATAAAACATATCAATCCCTCTGATACTCCCAAGCTGTTAGCTAATAAAGTTGTGCATATCTATCCAAAGCGTTCTTGTGTTAAACACAGTGATAAAACAAATCAGCGATAGTTTAATCCACGTTTAATCCACAAAAACACCGATATCATCAATATCTGCCCAAAGCCACAACTGTAATGGCGGCAGAACCGTTACAAACAGCCCCATCGCTCGGCCACGCCCACGACGGCTATGCGCGTGCGCAGCTAACACCCGACTTTTATTTTGGAAAATCACCAGAACGCACCCGGATGTCAGTTCTGAAGTGATTTCAGCACGACCCGAACCTCGCAGTTTTACGAGCTCTTTGGAAAAAGCGAATTGCTGTCACTTCGGCGAGTTATTCTGTACTATTTCCCTAGATTCTAACTATGTGTGTGATACGCTGAATTTTGTTAGTATTGCACTGCGCAGCAACTTCAAACGGCCGGCAGAGCGGATAAATCTGCTTTTCGCTCTCGCTGCTCTAACGACGCGAACTGCTCGGGACCTCCGACCCGTCAGAGCCGGAGGGCAACTTCAGAACTTCGGTTAAAGCGCTGTAACCTGCACTGATGGGTGCACACAGGAATGAGGGCCGCAGAGACTGGCTCCAGCAGGACGTCGCTGAGCAGGACGTAGCTGAGCAGCAGGTTCAGTCTGTGGTGAGTCGCAAGCTGTCTGAGTGAGAAACGCACCGCCTTTACCGTCTTCATGTTGATGATGACTCATTTCTGGAGCTGAAGTCAGCTGAATTGAGGCGCAGAGGAACACGAAGCTAAAGTCAGCTTCTCATTCGCCAGCTTCTTGTTCGAATTTTCCCGTTCCACCTTAAATGGTGCAGCAGTTACATCCTAGGTGTAACTGTTGCTCCATTTAAGGTGGAACTGGAACATTTGAACAAGAAGCTGGCGAATAGGAAGCCAACTTCGGCCTCGTCAAAGCAGATGTCAGTGTTAGACTTGAACGGTTGTATATCCTAATAACTACACCATACGACCTCTTTATCCATTAGAACTAAACAGGCTGTTTTTGTTTGTACCTTTAAGACTGACATATGCAAATGAGCTCTGTTCTGATTGGCTCTGTATAGTGTCTCATTAAAAAAGCAGTCCAGGCTGAAGCGCTGCTTATAACTTCAGTGTGAGTGGGCGGGGCTAATCTGGAGAATAAGCATATGTAGTCCATGTAAATATGTTCATCACAACAATTATGAATTCAGAAGGGGCTTTTTCTGCAGCTTAGCTTTCATAGTGACTGTATGCATTGAGGAGTGAATGGTAGGTTTTGAAATTTACACATAGTACTAGAGGCGGGCGATATGGCAAAAATATAATATTGCGATACTCGATCACGCTCTTTATTTTTTTAAACATCTGATCAGCTGGAACTGAGAAAAATAAACCAGTAGTGCTACATTCTTAAAAATACTATCAAAACCTATGAATATGGTGATTTTTCTTGAATATATCGTATGCTGTGTTGCACTAAATCCAGTTAAAGGGACTCATTTTACTCTCTTTATAATGAAACAGTTGGTCAGTGTTGTACAAGTACTGATGATATATACATGATACGTTCAGAAAAGCATGTTGTATTGTGACATAGTTTTTCTTAATAACAATATATTTTGTCATATTGCCCAGCCCTACATAGTACCTTTTACCCTCATTAAAAGAAGTAAGGACAGTTCCGTTTCCATGATATGAGCTCTTTAAGATCGCCCGTTATTAAAACAGGTGTTCAGTTGCGCCCAGTAGAATGTGATGCTCTGTAGCAGCCACACAGGTCTCCATGTCTAATGCTAACCATAGGCTAGAGGGGTATAAAGCCCACCCAGTGTTGGGCTGTGGAGCAGCAGAGCAGTGTTCTATGGAGTGATGGAGCTCCATCTAACACCTTTGGGATGAGTTGGAGTGATCCAAAACTGACAGACACAGACAGGAACGGAGCCTTGAGTGCGACTTCGTGTCTGGCACTGAGATATTTTGCCGCAGGGTCATTCCAAAACCGGGTGGGCGACTCTGTTTAAGTACACAAGTCAACTGCGTGTGGAAAAAGAAGAGCATATATAACTAACCTACCTAACATTACCTTTCTGTTATTCAGTAGATTCAAATAGTCCGAATTGTTCACAGTGGTGGTGATAGGAACCAGATGTCTGAAGAGGTTAGTGCCTCTGATGTCGCCCTCACAAAAAAGCTATTACATGAAATGTTTGCCATCGTGCTGCCTGATGCCTGGAACACTGTTTTATGATCGTTTTGAAAACATGTCTTTAAAAAGCCATTCATGGTGTAGAAGTACATGCAAGGCAAAATAGTACCCAGAGAAAACTTTCTCAGATTTACCACTATTCTACCATCATTTACATTACACATATAGAAGACAGGTGTAGGTTCACTGGTGGTTTTGGATGGTAAATAAAATGGCTGTATTTGTGTTGTAGACATCACCACCACCGTATCAGAAAACAGACTTTTTAAAAATGAATAAACAGAGAACTCTGCGTTCAGAACTGATGTGTCTCATCTGTTCAGAGGCGCTGATTAAAAGTGGAAACATCAAACGCCACTGCAATACAAACTACTTGGAATTCAGTTCCACGGACGCAAAATAACCCAAAGCTCAACATAAAAGCGCCACCAGAGTGGTTGTCCATTCTCTCACAGAACGAGAATAAGAAATGCTCAAGAATAACCTTTACTGTTGTTTTATTGAATTTTATTTTTAATGTTTACATTTATTCAGCCTTATTTAAATATTTTGTATTATGCATACATGGTGGGTTCTGTATGATCCTTTTCCAGAAACATGATTTTCGTGTCAGTAGAAAGAGAGAATAGAGAGGTTGTATTCACATTGGTCAGTACTTGTTTTGTCTTGTACAAGATAATGTACCAACTTCACCTGGGCTTTAGTATTTTGGATAAAGTGATCAGTGCTTATGTCAGTAAATAATGTAGTGTCAGCATGTTTTTCTCTGCTGTATTTCCATTTTGTGCTTTCTGTTTTTTTTGTGTGCTAGAATCCCTGGAACATCATGATCAAGCACAGACAGGTTCACCGCAGGGGTCGACGCTCACAGATGACCGTGAGGTAACTGTTAACATACTCATTTCTGCTCCTCGACTTTTGACTTGAATTTATCTGTAAGTCGTGTGAAGGCATTTTGTCTGGTTGTTTACAGTTTCCAGTTATCCGTCTTTGTGCTTCTCCTAGTTACACAGATCCTGTTATTTCTATGGACCTCCTGCGGAAGGTTCTGCAGCCCAGCTTCAACGAGGACATATTGGCCGTCTTCAGAAAATACATGAAGGTGAATAAACAAGCCAGTTGTCCACCAATTCTGTGTAGTTTCGGGGATATGTATAGTGAATGTCTGTTGGCTAATTTTTCCTCTCTGCGCAGTTTTTTGAAAAGGCAGCCAGCAATGTCAAAGAGAACGTGGGAGAGGATATACAAACGGACCATCTTATCAGGGAGGCTTGTCGAAACTGCTTGGAACACGTAAGGAAGATACAGCACCCAAGCAACTGACTAAAAGTTAAGAAGGAGGATTGTTTGTTAAGCAAATTTCTCCTTGTTTAGGCGAAACAGCTCTTTCCAGAAGCAGAGAAAACTGTCCAAAGACCTGTTTTCGATACCTCAGTGAAGGTAAAGATCAGTCAGTGCTGTTCGAATGTAACGTTGTTTTTTTGTTTTTGTTTTTTTTTTCAACAGAATTTGCTGTTAGTGTATTTGTCCCAGGGTTTGTGCTCGTCTGTCTGTCAAAATATGATGATCAGAGTGATTAAAATGAACTTGCTTGGAATAATTTTAGTCTCGCAGTGCCGGACATGACCTCATAGCACAAATGCACATCTGAGGACAATTTGTTAAACTTTTGGTGCTGGATTGCAGCGAATCCCGTTGCAACCAAGGTATGCCCCTCTGAAACAGCAGACAACAGCCACAAAGGCAAAGAATTCATATAGAGCAGCAAATGAGTGCACAGCGTCACTACTCTCCTCCATCTTGGTTTTTCATCATCTTCTGCCTGCACATTTCTCTTGGTTGACATCAGAATCTGTTGCAGCAAAAGTTGAAATGGTTTGAACCTTTTTGAAGCTCGACGAAGCGTCTTTCACAGCATGCAGGCCCGTTTCTCGTCCGAAGAGCTGACGCAGCGTCCTAACTGAAATATAGTGGGGGACTGTGTTTCTGACACTGCATCAGCTTATAGTGTGTAGGCACCCTAATGGAACTTTTTATCTCTTATGAGATGTCATGTTTAAATTTACCACATATATTGTGTTCTCTGCACGTGTGACAGACATCTACATGCACCATTGGAGCTTTTTTGGGAGACTTGTCAGTCATGCTAACTTGTGTTACATCCATGGACTAACAACAGGTTGTTGTCCGTTGGACGTTAAGCTCTGTCAAGGTGTTAAATCCCACTCAGTTTGTTCCCACCCTAATAAGTCTGCGCTCCTACCCACATTTAACCCAACATTTCTCATGCCTGTCCTCATCACAAGGTCATGTCTGGCTCTGAGAGACTAAGCATAATTTAGCTGAGAAATTCAGTGCGCAGGTTTTTAATCAGCTGTCCTAAAACACTTCCATCCGTCCTGCAGCGCTCACGGCAGATGGAGGATGACTCCAGTCAAAGAGGCAGCCCAATCCCAAAAAAGGTAGGTCTGTTAATAAAGCTGCTTTATCGTCAGTGGTCAGTTTAATAATAATGTATTACTATATTATTGTATTATATTATTGGCTGATCTAAAATGACATGAACATGTATGTGGCTTCTGAGAGTTTATATGCAGTAAAAAAGATGTAGTTTTTAAAGGAAGTAAGTAACCTGGTTCAAATATTTCATTGTACCTTTAGTATTAACAGAACAATGATTTATGTTTTACATTTGTCAGGTTATTATTTGAAGTTCAGTGAACTCAAAATTTTAAGTCAACCAGGTTACTTACTTTTTTTAGTTCTGCATCATACATTTTTCACAGAGTTTGTGATGTTGATAATGGTAAAATAGTGGTAAATCACAAAAACAGTGTTTTCTTTGGGTACTGCTTTGGTGTATAATACTCTACAGATACCACTCTGCCGTGACCGTATTTTTACAAATATGTTTTAGGTTAAAACTTTTTTGCAAACCTATCAGATTTATAGCCATTTTGTGTTGTTGCTTTCTGTAAAATAGCTTTTAGATCCATTAAAAATTCAGACATGCTATCACCACCACTGTGAACAATTCAGTAAGTTTATCTAGAACTGAGCATTTCATACCAAATCACTCTGAATGACTTTCTGAAATTGTGAAAAATTGATTGAATTTACATTTAAATATTCATTAAGCCAATCTTAGGCTAATCCTTCGTAAAAGAAGCAGTGGCTCCATTTCACACTATGTAAGTTGTTACTGACACATGATTTTCCTCTGTGTTTAGAGAAAGGGACGTCCCCCTGGGCAAGTTATATCTTATGACAGAACTATACCGTACAGCACTCCGTAAGTACTGTAGGCGATTCTGTATGTTGTTTACATGTTGGAAATTATATTTTTAAACTTGGAAGTGTAAAATTCTCCTCTACAGGATAAAGCCTAAGACATCTGAACCCATAAAGCGGGAAGGACCAAAGGTTAAGAGAATGTTGTATCTTCTTCTTTACTAGATCATGTATTATTACACTACATAATAAACAGATTGCCTGCTTTTAATGTGCTTCTCCCTCTCGTTCAGTGGGATCCCACCAGGTTGAATGAGAAAAGCACGTTTGTTTTAGGATCCAGAGCGAACAAGTAAGTGTTTCTTTATTGAGTTGCTTTGCTCTCTGTTGGGTCATGTGGCTGGCTGCTAGCATGTCATAAGAACATAAGCACCACTGGCCAAAATTGTTGGCGTCACTGTAGTGGTGAACACATGATTTATAAGGTTCTGTGACTACGTTTAAAATTGCGATCCATGGTAAATATAGAGAAAGTAGTGTGTTATAACTGTAATATCAAAACCTTGTAAATCCATTTTTATATTTTTGCCCTATTTTAAAACTAGGACTAGAGCTACCAATTCCTGAATGGTACTTTTTTCAGGACCTTCTTTTAAATCACAAACTGAAAGTAGGTCAAAACTAGGTATATTTTCTGTCCGCATCAGGCTGCAAACTAATCAAGTAGTGTTGCCATTAGTAATATACATACAGATTGTAATCTACCCAGCCCATCAGCAGTCTACATTTTGGAAAACAGATGCTTGTTTGCTGCTGGATACTAATAACGCCGACAGCTTAGGTATCAAAATTTAGTTTTGAATGACATGAAATTTTTCAACACTCAGTAATTATGTAAGTACTATTGAATTAAATTACTACTGAATTTCGATATCCAGTCCTATTGAAAACATCAGCAGCTGTTTGCGTTCTGTGAACATGTAATGATAAATGGACTGATAGTTTCCGTTTCAGAGACACAATGTTTTGTTTTCACAGCAACAAAATACTGTTCAGTTGTTGTGTTAAAGGGTTCAGAGGCTCTGCTTGATTTTTTGTTTCTTATACCAAGGTCTGCTAATAGCTGCTAATAGAGCGCTAACGTAAGGCCTTAGTGTACCTCTAATGAAACGAAGTAGCGAAGTTTGCACAAAGCTGGAACATGTTGCGAGCTTGCATAATCTGCATTTCATTGTTTTGGCTGTCCTGTGTGAGCATTAAAACTGAGTTGCTATGTGCGCAACACGGCGAGCGAGGATGATGTCTGCGGTTGTTGGATTTCTCTGCAGTTACGTCACATTAGCTGCGCTCCAAAGCCCAGGCTGCATTTCTCAGCCACTACATTATAGCAGGCCTTTCCATATATCGTCCATATATCGGATTTTATTTAGGATTCTTTGTATATATGTAGTTTGTTGTACTACATGAGAACTCTCCATTTCCGTGAAGAAATGAAAAAGCAACAAACTCAATGCAACGGGCTCCATTTTCTCACCAGTTCCCTCACAAGTTTCGTGCCGCTCTGGCGACGTCACCACGCAGCCTCGTTAGGACTGTTCCATGTGTGTGAACAATAGGCTACTAAGGAGTAGTCTTCATAGGACAGTCCTACCAAGTACCCTAACTAGCTCGGCTGCAGCCTAGGCTTTGGAACACAGCTATTGGTGGCCGAAGTCAAGCGAACGTCATGTCTGTTAGAATTATTTATTGTATATATGCAGAGAGAAAAACAACTAATGGAGTTTATTTTTAGGGCTTTAGGGATGGGTGGCACCAGAGGAAGGATCTACATTAAACATGCAGACCTGTTCAAGGTATTGTGGATTTTCTTTGCTGGGTTGCTACTAAACTGTTCATAACAGTGTCCAGCCATGACGGGGTGTGTGTGTGTGTGTGTGTGTGTGTGTGTGTGTATTTCAGTACGCTGCCGATGCTCAGGACAAACACTGGCTTGCAGAGCGGCAGCACATGAGAGCCACAGGTGGAAAGATGGTAAGAGTGTGTGCTGCATTAATAAAGGCTTATTCTTAACTCTTCTGAATTTGTAATGATGTGCATTTTTCAGGCATATCTGTTAATTGAAGAGGACATCAAAGAGCTTGCTTTAAGTGAAGAATACAAGTAAGTAATAGTCCATTATAAGTCCATTATAAGACCCTTTACTCCTGGTTAAATTGAACATATACAAACAATAGATATCAATGCTTTATTATGATTAATCCCACCTTTGTTAGAGAACGTAAACAGTGGAGTCCTGCCCGTTAGTACAAATGCTTAGTCTTTTCTAATTTGATGCAAAATTTTCATTACAAATTATATTATTAGCCTAACAACTTGAGTAAAAGTAGAATCTCTGAACTGTTAGCCTTCAGAATTTCTTAGTATTTGGAATTTGACAGCATGCACTTGAGCTGGACTACACGACGTGCAAAATCCTCTCATGAGTAGATCAGATCCACCTGAGAATCGTCTGAACACGAGCTTCAGTAGAAGAAATAAGACAAAAAATATGACCTTTTTTGTTCAAAGTTAAATCTGTCACAATTTTGCTTAAATTTGAGTAGTGACCTAGAAATAAGGCAGAATTGTCAATATTTCTTCTTCGTTTTACTTGTCATAACTTTTCATTGTTTATTTTCAGGTTTAAATAGAAAAATACCAGATTTTCGATGTGGTCTCAGACTTTTGGACCCTGCTCTGTATAGAAATCTTATCAGCTGATAAGCAGCTTATGATTGACTGTCATCAAGTTTTTCAGCTTTATTTCTGCCCATCACTCACTGTCATGATGCTGAGTGCGGTTACATGCACTTAATCATCTGATAATTGCAGGAAATCAAATTTTGTCAATAATCTGATCAACATGTTTACATGCACTTGAGTAATCAGATAATGGAAAACTCCAGGTCTACATGAGTCTTTAATCAGATTTCTGCTTTACAACCAGCCAATAAACTCACAGAAGAAGACCTGACGTAAACATAATGTAAAACTGAAACTTCATGCTGAGGCTTTTTTTTTAAACATCGTGCCACTTTAGCTGAAAATATGAACATACATCATCTAAAAGATGAAGATTATTTAAATCCTTAATTTCATCAACCATGTAGTTGGTTTCAGTGTCACTCCAAAAGTGTTTTGCTGCATCTCGTGGCAGCACTGCTTGCTTATTTCCAGTACCGCTGTCTGTTTTCGCACATGTGCAGTCTGAGAAATCTGAAAGAAATCAGAGTAAGAGTTTAAATGCAGTGAGGAATCTGATTACTGAGCTAAAATCCAGCTCTCTTTATTGGATTTCTTAATCAGATTTCTAGACCTTACTGAGCTAAGAAATTGGAGTGTTACTCTCTCTTCAGAGCTTGAACTCTGCCAAGTTCAAGTTTCTAGCTCATCTTAGCTCGCTAATGTTAGAAGAGCTTGGCAGTGATGAACTAGCCACCAAGAATGGGACCATGACTATAATAACTTGAACTTCACATCATATTTGTTCTTGTAAATCTCTAGAGACTGCCCTGACTTGAGGCTGGATGAGCTGAAGCCATTCGTGGTGCCAATATGGATGGTAGAGAAGATGCAGAAGGCAATGGAAGCTCAGAGATCTGAGAAGGACTAGAGGAATGAGAGCCCAGCACATTTTAGGTTATAAGATCTTTTCTAGGATCAGCTCCCCTCGACTGTATAATATGGCTTATTTTAAGTCATAATTGTAATCATATTGAATAAAAACGAGAGGAAACTGATAGTAGATCAACAGTCTTACTCTGAGAATTTTGGTAGATACATTTCCTAATGTCATAAAAATTATCAGCCTTCTAAACCACAATAGAAGTCACTGGACCATGCACATGTTGACCACAGCGTAGTTTGCATTATTTTGATTTCCGTTTGTGGTTTTCATTATTGACTCTGGCCTTACAATCAAGCTTAGGAATTTGTTGCTTACTCTCATGCTGGAAAAGTGTGAACTATCAGATGTTCACCAGTTTTGTTTTCATAAACCAGTATTTATAGAGATAATGTTAGACTGAAACAGTTTAGATGTTTGTCTTCCTTTTTTCTTCAATCAGCAAAATACCTTTTTGTAAAAAAAGCAACAAAAAAAAAAACATTTTTTTGTATGAGAAAATATTTGCAAAAGTGCAAACTCAGTGGTACTATGAGTGCTTTCTTCTGTGATTTTGGATCTTTATTTTTCTTCTTACCCTCTCTTTAAAGGAGCATTCCACTGATTTTCCTAAATTTCTGCATAATTCAGTGGTTGAGATGTAAACTTTTATTCTTCATTCAGTTTGATATGAGACGGCTCATTGTAGAGAAACTTGCCGACTCTGAGTTCCTCTGATTTACTATCCAAAACCACCAGTGAACCTACACGTCTTCTGATTTTTTACATGTAATATTGATGATGGTGAAATAGTGGCAAGTCTGAAAAAAAATTCTTTGGTGACTATTTTGCCTTATTTTTACTCTGCATGTACCCCTTCGCCAGGAATGGATTAAAAAAATATATGTATTAGGTAAACAGTTTATAGGACGACGATCATAAAACAGTGTCTCAGACATCAGGCAGCCATTTTATGTAATAACTTTCTTTAAAGGTGCTTTTAGAGGCAGACGTCTGGTTCCTACCACCACCAATAATTCTGTCTCATCAAGTTTCTCTGAAAAAGAGCGTTTTACACCAAACCACTCTGAATGACTTTGTTTACATCTCTACCATTATATGGAAATTTTGAAAAATTAGTGGAACACTCCTTTAAGTTTATACCTTGTGAATGTTTTTTTTTACACAATACTGAACCTCTTTTATTTGTGTTGTCAAAGGGAATTGATTCATTTTGTCTATAATTTCTCTTTTTCACCTTTTATTTACTGTTTAATACTCCAGAAAAGGGAGTTCTTCTGTTCAAGCTACAAAAGCATTGTAGTATGCCATGTGCAGTACTGTACACACTTAAAAAAAGGTGGTTCTTCAAGAGTTCCTTAGTAAAGGGAATGGTTCTGTTTAGAACAGTGAGTTGTACATAGAACCATTTCATGCTTAAAAGGTTCTTTGCATGGTGGAATAGTTCTTTAGATTGACTGAGAATGTGTTGTATATGGTTGTACCTTGTTCAACCTTTTTGAAAGTAGTGCTATTTAGCACCAAAAAGTGGCGTTCTGTATTTACAAGCTTGACATCGTACACAATAGCAGAATGCTCTTTGGTGCTATATAGAACTATTTTCAAAAAGGTTCTGTATAGAACCATTCAGGTGACAACACATTCTCCGTTTGTTTCACCATGCAGAGAATCATTTAAAAATTAAATGGTTGTATATAGATCTCATGGTTTTGAATAGAACCATTGCCTTTACTAAAGAACCTTGCATAATCTTTTTTAAGTGGGTACTTGTAATTATTTTAGGGGGAAATGAGAAAAATGAGTTGTTTTACAGTGAGGAAAGAAAAAGATACTGTACATTATTTTTGAAATATTTTGTGGAAAAAATAAAGCTGTTACACTTTACATCGAAACAGAAAAAAAAATGAAATTTATCAGTTTATTTCCCAAACAATAAATATTTTTTGTCTACACTTCCTGCTCCCTTGTGTTCATCTGCGGCGCTTTCAACGGTCGTAGACACGCCCACCCGAGAGCATTGTCCAATCAAGTCGCAGCGTGCCATAAGGTGCGTTATTTAATGGTTGCTAGGGCCAAGCTTTGTTTTGAGTGCTCGTTTCTGATTGGTGGAGACGCCAGGCGGGGCGGTGAAACAGTTGAGAGAGAGTCAGTTTAAACGGGGGGGCGGGATGAGATTTTAAAATCTCACTGTGCACAACTCCGTTAGTGACTGTTGGCCGAAGGACGGCACGCAGCTGGTAATATACACCGAACATCCATTTTACTCCATTAGCTGTATTTAGGAAAGGCGTTTGATTGTACACTAAAGCTTTTGTGCACATTTTGTTTGTCTGCGTTTGACTTCAGCCTTAACGTTACTCATATGTGGCTGTTGTTGTTCTAGACGTTAACGCTGGCCAGCTTAGCCAAGAACTCGCCGTGCTAGCTATCTCATTTAATTTGCCTACTTTAAGCGGTTATTTAAGTCTGTATGAGATCGATAATGCATCTCATATCTCACGCTGAAGCTTAATAACGTGCCGGCTGATATTTAACGCTAGCTGGTTGCAGTTGGAGACCTTAATGGACGTCCGGCTGCTAGCTCGGCTAGGCTATCGTTAGTTTCGCACTGCGGTGCTTAATGTTAATGACGTTGAAATGCAAGGTTAGCTCGCTAGCTAATAAAGGGTGAAACTAGTCATGATTTATAGTTAGACTAAACTAAGCGCTCCAGGTTTTAGAATAAAAAATTGTAGCGTTATGTCTGTGCAACGTTAGATTATGAAGGTCGCTAGTTTAGGTAGCCTAACGTAAGCTAACCTAAGTGTGAGTAAAGCAGTTAACGTTATCGTTCAGCGTCTGTTAGATATCTAATCACACAACGCAGACAGAAAATATTTCCTTAAGTTATCATTTGCAGATCGTTTGAGATGATCTTGTGATGTCTTTGTGATTTGTCGCTGTTCAGTTAACTAAATCGCCTCCGACGCTGCACACTTAACGAAGCCGAAGTTGGCTTCCTTTTCGCCGGCTTGTTCGAATTTCCCAGTTCCACCTTAAATGGTGCAGCAGTTACTTTAGAGCGCCCGACGCGCCAGTGCGACTGCTTCACCATTTAAGGTGGAACTGAAAATTCGAACAGGCAGCTGGCCAACAGGAAGCCGGCCATAGCCTCATGTGGAGTTGACTTCAACTTACACAGCTAATGTTAGTCGGACTGTCCTCGTGTTTATATACAAATTGTTGTCAACTGATAAACTGGCCAGAACAGCGCGATTCCTTAACCAGAATGGTCTCTTCACAGGTTTTAAGCAATGGCCTCCCAGAATATGGATCCTGCGGCAGCCTCGTCCACAGCGGCTTTAAAAGGAAACGAAACTGGCGGAAGTGTACCGAAAGGCTCCGTTTCGAAAAGGTACGCAGTGACCTCCCCATTCAAAAGCTTTTCCAGACTCGGGATGTTGCAGGACTGGGCATTATGACAATATATATCATTATAGTGATACATTTTGGCACAATACTTTTTGCTTTTCTGAACATGTATGTCGTGTATATGTCTGGAAAAAAATAAATTTCGTGACGCATCATGTGTTGGGAAGGTTCCTCTAAGTTTGCTATATCGTCCGCCTCTAGGATGTACTCGTTCTTATTTTTGGACGACCAGTCTTCAGGTCATCTGCATTCTTGTCTTGCGTGTTTTCTTGTTGGTTGACATGATACTTTAACGTTCACATAAGTATTGAAATCATGCTGGCAACTAGAACTATGTGTAGCTAAACAAATAATCATTAGGGATGCATAATAATATCTTAATCATATTGGTATCAGCATGCATGTGCTTTAAAATTAGCAGAATGAGGCATTTGGATGATATTTGATGCGTTTATTGTACTTCAGAAGAGCAGAATGTTTAGGTGGTGCTGGACTGCTGCAGTAAAATGTATGCATTTTATTAAATGAATTGTATTCATTTTACTGCATTTGTAACCCTACAGAAACAAATGTTATATTTCTCCATAATGCTAATCCAGATGGATCTATTCCCAGTTTCCACAATTTGTACATGTGAGCATCGGTACAAAAGGTTATATTGCCCCGCAACTCCCATGTCTGTGCATCCCTAATAATCATATTGATGAATGTAGAAAAGTGAAGCACAATTTTCCTTTGGTCTTAGTTCTATGACATAAATCTACCCATTACTGATTGCTGTTATTTTGTCTCCAGGCTTCAACAAGAGCTGATGACACTTATGGTGAGTCTTTTCAAATACCTAAAGTTATTTTTAAAAATTGTTTTACAGTGTTTTAACTTTGTCTTTGTGTTTTTGCCCACAGATGTCTGGCGATAAGGGAATTTCAGCGTTTCCAGAGTCTGACAATCTCTTTAAATGGATTGGCACAATAGATGGGGCACAAGGAACAGTAAGTCTTATAATTTGTTTATTACAATTAGCTGAGGTTTATTTGCCCCACATTCAGTGCAGACAGTTCACATTTTTTCTTTACCTTTACCAGAGAGTGGGTAAAGCTCAATATTTTTCCCCCTGCATGTTGTTCAACCAGTGATTTTTATTTTTCATCTAAAGGTATATGAAGGCTTGAGGTATAAGCTGTCATTGGAGTTTCCCAGTGGATACCCTTACAATGCCCCTCGAGTGAAATTCATCACTCCCTGCTTCCACCCAAATGTTGATGAGAATGGGTTCATCTGCTTAGACATTTTAAAAGAGAAGTGGTCGGCTCTCTATGATGTTCGATCCATTCTGCTGTCTATTCAGAGTTTACTTGGGGGTAAGATGTTTCTCAGACTTGATCTACATTCTATCTTGACTTGCTTGTTGTCTCTAATATCCAGCTTCTTTTGTGAATGACCATTATCTTTCAAAATCCACTTTCTGTGTAGAGCCCAACAATGATAGTCCTATGAACTCTGTTGCTGCTGAATTATGGGATAACCAGGAAGGTAAGCAGTTAAAGCACATGCAGTGGTCAGTCTAAGGTTATGCTGCTTATTGTGGTGTAATGAATATTCACTTTATTAATGATGAGGGTAAGAAAATATGTCCATAATTCTTTGTTCTTTTTCCAGCCTTCAAAGCCCATTTGCACGCAACCTACAAGAATTGACCCCCTGCAATTTAACATGCCTGCCTTTCCTTTCCCTTTTATTTCTGTGTGTGACCTCACTTTTTTCTTGCTCATAATTATGTAAATTAAAACCTGTCTGTTTAATGTACAGTATTTGTATGTTGAATTTAACTTGTCTGAATAAAATGGCGTTCAGTAGTTGGACTCTTGGGTATTTATTCACTAATGTACAGTAAAGCCTAGCGCAGACTGCCATATTCACAAAAACAAGGCAGAACCATGGCATTATTTGAATGAACAGAACTACACTAGGATGGAAAAAATACAACAGACTTGAGCTGTCTGTGTATTCAACACATTACATTGGGAACAGGTTAAAATTAAAACATTTGTTATCCACTTCTCCAAGATATTTATACTAGCAGCAAAAGAATAGGATATTTATTTATGTCTACAGTCTTATCAAATGGTCGAAAACTTGTGACCTTTTGTTTAAGCACATTGGTTGGTGAATGAGGACCATTCTTAAGAAGAAATTTGTTCTTAAAATCCATTTATGCAGTTTTCGAAGATTCTGTCACTCACTATTGTTTTCTTATTTGGGATTTGTTTTTAAGTAAGAACAGACTCTTATGTCCACTCAACCATTTCTGCAGTTTAAGTTCACATCATGAAGCTGACGTAGACTTTTTCTTAAGATCTTTCTGAAGAGTACCAGAGAAAAAACGTAGGACGATATTGGCAAAAGAGGCTCGATGTTTGTGCCTGGAACATCATATTTGGTTGAGTTGCAAATTATAAAGTTTTGTTCATTTGACCTAAATGAAGAATAAGATGCATGAAAAATATTTATTAAATTTTCCCAGATGGGAATTTTGACCAAACGAAGGTTTTATTTGGGTTGTCTACAGTCCTGTGAAAAAAGTTTTTACTTGCAGGTAGGGGGCAGTGTTTTACACATTTAAAAAATGGTCTACCCTGTGCAACAGAGAATAGAAGAACTTGGTGAGCTCCCAACAAATGATGGTTAACTGAACTTAAAGGCATACCATGATAATTTGGACTCCCCTCCAGAGCTATAATCTTCATATTCCTATCAACACAATGGCTCTAATTGAGCAGACAGAATATACACCCTAATTTGCAGTTGGAATGATTGCAGCAGCCAGAAGCTCTGTTGTCCTGAGACACCACCTCCACCTCCATGATCTCTTCCAAAGTGTCATCCTCGTCTTGTGTGTCTCCACAGCCCTCAGCCCAGGCGTTTTGTGTGGGCTCCACTGACCACAGTGGCACGTTCACTCTCTGAAGCATCTCCTGGAGCAGCCTGTCGATCTCCTGCACATGGCTCTTGAGGTCTGGCCTCCTCTCCCCCTCTGTTGTTACCCAGGGTGTCTGTACGGTGGCAGCCCGACCTGCTACTTCAGAACCTCCACCAGTTGCTCCACTGTTGACCAGGGCCCGACGGTCCTTGCGTTGGCCAAGGGGAAAGGTCTCCTGGAGGATGCTGACCTTCCTTAGGTCCTGCTGGAAATTCTCCAGGGCACAGAGGAAGAGCACCCACATGCGCTCCACCTGCTCGCGATCCTCCTGCACTTGCTCAGTCTCCACCAGCAGGGCCAGCAGCCTCCGGTGCATCCCTGGAACATGAGCGTATCCAGGATAAATAATGCTTACATGTTGTAATGGAGGAAGTGTGCACTTAAAGAACAAGACAATAAGAAAAGAAGTACACACTAAATTCCCTCTACCCCACCCCCCAAAATAGGCATAATTCTGATATATATTTTTTGTCATTATAATCATATATATATAATATATATATATATATATATTATAATATATATAAGTTGTTGTAAAGTCAGATTTTTTACCACTGTCATTTTACTTACTGTGTTGACATGAAACTTTAAATCCAATATTGTCAGTAGTGTTACTCAGTACAATTATTCAGATATATAAATACAAAATACAGAAATTATGTGTAGTCTGAATAGACTAAAAAATCAATTTGATCAGTTATTAATCTCAGTTTTACTGAGCTCTGCTAAAGCCTGAGTAGACTGATAAATCAATGCGATGAGGAGTTATTAATCTCATTGTTACTGAGCTTTTTTGAGGGATGACCAAACAAATAATCTCCTCAGCAGTAGATGTGTTTGTAAGTAATACGTTTAGCATCGGTGTAGTACTTGACTCCTACTTGGGGATTGTGGGAGCAGCAGTGGACTGAAGCAGGCGATGACAGAGAAAAGAAAGAAGTTGAGAATTTCAGAGACCGATTTAAATGCTAAGCACGTTTTCCATGAAACTTCTTAACAGAAGAATTACATGAAGAAAACTGCCAACCAGTAACAGTAAGGAACAGCATGAATTAAATCAAAATTACAGCAGAGTTTTCCCATTGTCTTATCAATATGTATTGTAAATGTATTCTGGATGTATTCAATTAATATAGCGTATAAATTGTTACAGACTACATTAGTGAATACATTTAGCACAGTGTATTCAGTTTTCAGACATTAAATTCAATTCTCCTTTTCCTCTTTATTATTGTCATGTTTGTTATTGAGGAATTTAAAATAATTAATCACAATCATTTTCCCCATATTGCCCGGCTCTATGCTATAGTGACCGCACAAAGCTGGCTGCCAAAAGACTGGTAAAAATGTTGTATATAGTCATACAAATGATATCTTTCTTTGTTAAAATTATGTTGCCCACAAGACTTTAGTGAAATCCGCTACCAATTACCTATTACTCGCCTCCACTATTCCCTACCTGTGCATATCCTATGAGCCAATGCCCTGGTTTCCTCCAACTCCTCTCTCAGGCTGCTCCCATCTGTGTTGCTCCCTAAGCAGGTGGCCATTTGCTGGTAGCAGGCGGTTACCTTGCTGAGGGCGCTTTGCGCCTGCTCACACTCGCTCACCTGTCTCCGCCTGGCCTGTATCTCCCCCACCGACCTCCGCCAGCGATTCATGTCCACTGGTGTGCTCACAGCCCACAGCTGATCAAAGATTTAGCACATTTGGGACTCACTTCCTGTACACAGAGACATCCTGGACATAAACTAAAAATACTTTGAGTGATGAATCTTTCTGCAGAGCTAGTCTAGCACAGCTCTGTGCTTACAGGTAACTGGAATATCTCTTACCACTAAAATGTAGAATATTACATGTTTAAGTCTGTTTTTTCATGGCAGAGAAAGCACATTATTCAATCCTGCAAGTCCTTGTTCTTTGCTGTAAGCTGATTATACCAGTTTAGTCCAGCAACCCTCTCCTCAAAATCTGCAACAAAGTGATAACTATAATATATAATATTGTATGTACTGTTTTATATATAAAATAATATTGTTATAAAATCATTAAAGATTTTTGTATATTAAAATTCAACCCCACTCCAAACAACAACAGCAAAAACAGTTAGGCTCTATTACCTGTTGCTTGATATTTTTGGAAGTGGATTTTGTTACTGCTAATGCCAAATCACATTTATATACCATATATCATGTACTTATCATGTTTGAATATTAACATAATTTAAACATTTTGAATGGGATCCCACAAAACATCATCCAACATCACAAATTAGTTCTTGTTGATGTACCTATTTAAAATAGAATTCCACTGGATTTCCAAAATTTCGGGAATAATACAATGACTGAGATGTAAACATAGTCATTCAGAGTGGTTTGATGTGAAATGGTTCACTGTAGAGACACTTACTGATTCTGTTTCCTTTACAGTGGTGGTGATAGGAACCAGGAGTTGCAATGTCTACAGTGCAGTATTTTATTTACTATCCAAAATGACTGGGGAACCTGTACGTCTTCTAAGCACATTGATAATGATGAAAAAGTGATAAATCTGAAAAAAATAAATTTTCTTTGAGAACTATTTTGCCTTATATATTTTGCCTGCATCCACCATGAATATATTAAAAAAGAGGCCAAAACTGTCGTGAAACAATGTCTCAGGCGTCAGGCAATGTATTTCATATAAAACCTTTCAACGAAGTGGCTTTATGAGGACTCTCTGGTTCCGATCACCACTGCTATGTACAATCCTGACATTCTGGTTTGTCGAGAATGGAGCACAAGTCTGAATGACTTTGTGTACATGATCATTTAATTATACACATAGTTTAAAAAATCAGTGTAACTGCCTTCCAACTTTGAAAGAAAGAAACCAGTGATTACCTGAATCTTTCTAAGAGTCCTTCAGGATGTCATGCCTTCTTCCCATTCTATTGTGTTGACAGTCTCATATCACAGTTTGACTGCATCTGCTGCCAACCACTCTATTATCACCCAACTCACCTCTGCACTTCCTTTCCGATGGCTTCCTAGAAGCTGGCCTTCAGGGACACACGTTTCAATTAGGCCCAAAGCCTGCAGCTGATGCCCTCAGAATCAACCAGAGGACGTACGTCACATCTGAGGGGAAACCTCGTTTCAAAATAAACACATACTTAATGTGACTCATGGAAAGAGGAGTGTGATTTATATTGAGCAAGGTTACATCAGATCCATGCACACCACCTTTTTTCCTATGTTTGTGTGTACGTGTTGGGGCTTAGGTGCAGTTAATTGTCAGCTGGGAGAGAGGCGCGGGACTGCAGAGGAACAGGCCAGGAATCTTTGTTGACGCCCCCTGTGGTTACTCAGGCTCGTTTTGAAAGCAGCAGGTCGATGAGGAGAGGACCCTTGACACATCAGCGCTCCCACAGGTCTAGTATCCCAAGCAACCCCACCAAGATTAGTTCATTCAGTTAGAAAAACATCAGAGTCATAAACTCTCACACTTCCTCTGGCCATCTGTTAAACGGGGGTTTAACAGATACATCTGTGATTTTGGCTTTATTCTTTACAGGTCTTGCTAAATGAAGTGCATAATGTCTAGTGATGGGCTAAAACACATGGAAGCTACGTTGGCTATGAATCACTTTCTCATAAGTATTTTAATACATATCAGACTCTGAACTCTCTGTTTTTGGCTATTCTTTTGTCAGTATCTTTTTTTTTTTAAATTCAGATGACATACTGAAATTATGTTTATAGAAACGTTTCATTATTCAAACCCCCTGAAAAATGGTCCTCTCAGCTGAAAAGCTGGCCAGTCTAAATTTTGCCTGAATGATTTACTTTTTTCCCAATTCAGTTTCTGCTACTGTGTTAGGCCTTTACAATTCCCCATCAAGTGACATCCAGCTGGCGGTCTTTTGAGTCTTTATTGAATATCTAATAACAGTTTAGGCGGTTAGAAGGTATTTGTTCATTCTCATAGCAATGACAAACACATTGTTTTTCCAAATACAACATTAAAATACAGCTTGGGAATTGACATGCCTTACAAAGGCAACTAGAAACTTTGACAAAGATATGGTGACTATGCTTTAAAGTTATACAACAAATAGATTTTCATAAAACAACTTAATGTAGATAGGACACATTTTCGACTCATGTAATAGAACAAAGCCCATAGTTTCCATGTTGGGTATGACAGAATCTCATTCTCTGATTAGTGGTATGTAAAAGGATCACAGTTGTGTTGAAGGCCCACTGACTGAGCTAACAAATACAAAAATGCCAGCAAGCTGAGGCAGCCTAAGCTCAATCCACACAACCTGCAATGGTCCTCAAGTCCTAACTGCTCGATTCAAGGTGTCCTGCCCTGCATACAATCTGAAGGGGATTGCTGAGTTCACTGTTAAATGCTGGTATATTCCGGTGCAACAGTAGGTGAGCAGTCAGACAGGGGGTTTAACAGATACATCTGTGATTTTGGCTTTATTCTTTACAGGTCTTGCTAAGTGAAGTGCATAATGTCTAGTGATGGGCTAAAACACGTGGAAGCTACGCTGGCTATGTGGCGATAGCCTCCATGATCTCATGGCACAGGCACTGACAGAAGCCATAGAAGACGCAGAGGACCAGGGTGGAGGGTACCAGGCTGACCAGGATGACGCCCAAGGTTAGCTGCTGGATCATCAGCAGATAGATACCCAGCGGGAAGCGAGCTGAAGTACACCAGGCAGAGGAAGCCCATGAGGAAGCGGGGTACTGTGCGTGACGTCCATGCGCGACACTTCTGCACAGGCAGGTGGCAGGGCAGTGAGTCCAAGCTGGCCGGCCGGTACATGCGGACCATGTTCAGCATGCTCATGGAGTCGGAAGACTGCGACTCGCCCGGGACCTCCATGATGGTGATGACTAAGCAGTCGGAGGAGCTGTGGGCCTGCTCTCCACCCCCCCCACCACCTCCACTCAGGCTGTTAGGGGTGAGCAGAACCTCGCCAGCGGGTGCCGAGCCGCTCTTCCTGGCCTGGTCCTGGTAGGTGAGGATGGCCAGGATGTTGCTGTCGTCCTGCAGCAGCCAGATCTCCTCGTCGGGCACGTGCGTCTCATGGCGGCAGAAAGGGCAGCTGACGATACTGGGCGACGCGTCCAGCTCCACCATCTTTTTCAGACATTTGGCGCAGACACGGTGCAGGCAGCTGAGTACCTTGGGCTTGCGCATGCGCATGTCGTAGCGATTGTAGCAGATCTTGCATTCCAGCTCCTCTAGCGTGTAGACCACAGACGCCTGCGAGGCCTCCGCCTCCGAGTCTGATTTGTGGCTCATCCTGAGAGCGGGAGAAGAGGAGCAGAGGGGGCCAGAATGCAGGTGGGAACGTTAAGAAGCAGACAGTCTGAGCGTGCTACGTAACAGCACCTGGCTGTCCTGCAAGCGCCCTGGATTTCTGCTTTGCGGTAACTTTTTGGGGATTTTTTTCAAATTCTGTTTGTACAGTGTGGTGTCATTTTTCTTAGAGCTGTTTGGCTGCTATGATGTAACTACTCCTCAAAGGAAATTAAATTTTACCAAGTAATTAAACACTGAGGCTGATAACGGGCCGTCCTGCTCAGTGTTCCCTGATTCCTGCTTTGCTTAACAGATTTTATTTGGTCAATTTTTTTAATAGTGTGGTTTCATATTTCATAGAACTCTTCAGTTTCTCTGATGTAACATTAGCTACAGATGTGAGCAAATAATAAAGTTCTAAATGAGGTTCTAAATCAGCCCAGTCATCAAACACTGAGGGGCTAATAATCAGTATGACCCTGAAAGCTATAATTCACATATTCACAGTAGTGCATGCAAAATCTTATTTTCCATGCATAATACTTATATTGATACATATAGATAAGTGTTTTGTTTTAGAGTTGCATGGAGTGATGACGACAATCAAGAAAAGAAACACTAGTTATTAAATAGGAGGTAATGAAATGTTATAGAGCTTTAGTCACTGAATTCATTCTAGTTCAGAATCCTGAGACAATGCTGTTCCACAGTTATCCATAGCTGATTAAGGAATTTGCAGAAAGGAAAACAGTCTATAAAATACTGGGTAAAGTCATCCTTAAATGGGTCCATTTCTTCAGCCAAGTGTTCTTAAGTGAGGACGATAGACATTTCATGTCTATCAAGTATTGACCTGCAAGTATTCAGCAGGAAGCACTTTTCTTCTTTCTGAAATAAGAACACAAGTAAAAATAAACTCAGTTACAAAAGTAATACTTTTTTTCAGGTATTATTTAATTTAATTTAATATGGAGAATACAGTGGCCCCAAAATGTATTTGGATGTTTATAAAACGGATAGTCTGGTTCTAAAACCTGATTGGCTGAGGCAAGTTCTAAGCTGTTGTAAAATCCATGATATACGCACACCTATGACCGCCTCACAACCCCTGAACTCTGTATTACTACACCACGGCACAAAAAACCCTGCTGCTGTTAAAGGAATGATCTTTGACTCTCATGCTGCTCGCATGGACCACCGAGTATACTGATGAAGTGAGAACCCATTTTTGTTTAAAGTGAGGGGCTGGCAAACTTATCTTCTGGCTGGTCAGCTAGCTAACAGGCTAAAAGATAGCTAACAGCCTAAAGAACTCCATCGTTAATATCACAGGCTTGAATTAAAGTACTGAGTAGAGAACGAGCAGAAATTGGAGAAATGATACCCTTAAATGTAATCTCAACTGGTAAAATATATGCAACGACATCCTTTCTATGACCAGAAATTCAAAACTCCAGCTAATTCATTATAAAACGCTTTACAGAACATAGATTATGCCTGGCAACATTGCCCAGCTTTAACAGACAATTACTATCATGGTTTCAAGATTTGTCCCCCAACCCAGCAGTTTTGGTCAGGGGTCATGGACAGGCTATCAGAGATTTTGGGCCTTGTCATCCCTTTATGTCCCATAGTAGTACTACTCAATGACCTTTTCTCACTTTCATCACCTCAAATCCTTTATATTAATATCACTTACTATTGCCAAAAAAGTTATACTGCTGAATATGAAGGACAGAACCAAAATGTCAGGTCACTGCAACTTGGAAAGACTTACAGCAGATTTTTCTCTTTCTAAACTCATCAAGAAAAGGTCAAAACCCATGGGGGGGGGTGCATTACTACCCTGTTTATTGTTTTGTTAAATGTTCTTGTTTATCTGTCCTGTCTTGTCCAGTTTGTCTATCAATATATATATTTTTTTCTTTATGTTTTCTGCTTTGTCTCTCAGCTGTCGCTGCCTTTTCTTTCACTCAAAGGGTGGCTGGATGGGTATGGGGGGGGTGTTTGGATTGGGGTTGGGTGGTTGTAGTACCACATTACCTTATGATTATTAATAAACGATGAGTTGTGACATTAATAGTGAAATGAAAAAGACAAATTAATGTCCCCCGTTCAATTATAGTTACACTATGTAAGTTTGGGGACTTGGAGACCTCTCTGGTGAAAATAATGTATAATTGCATGCAACGTGCAAAACTTGGTGAAGGACGTGTTTTCCGAGGATGTAAGTGAAGGATCTACTATTGTCATCATCATCATCAGTTTAATTTGATTTTGTGTTTGAGATCTAAACATCGAGCAAGACCTTCTTTTTGAGACTGTGCGTGTGACGTTAACACGTAAAGACGTATGAGAGGGTCTGAAAAACTCCCACCAAATCCAAGCCGACGCCTCTGACTTTTAAAGTATTATTTCAGGCGTTACAGAGTGACTCACAGCAGCACACACACACCATATTTAGCATGTTTTCTCCTGATTCACTTACAGATTTAGTGTTTTTCCTACTCCTGTAAAGTCACATTTCAGAAATATGAGGTTTTGCTATGACGGTGATAGTATGCATAAAAAATCTGAATTTCATTGACAGCTATTCTTCTGCCAGTATGTCATGACTATGAGCTAGTATTCCCTTGAGAGCATCTAGAGAGGAGAAAAAGAGAGCAGTAATCTTTGGGGTCATTCAATGTCACCCCACATTACGGCCATCGAATGAATTACAGTGGCGTCACTGTACGTCGTCCGTGACTTGATGACTTGCCCTTTGTGGTCAAAAACCTTATATTGTCCCTAACCTCACTTTATTTACAGCCTCTGCATTCATCATGCCTTTCACATACATAAAGCTGTCGGTTACGTCATAGCTGTGCGTGTATGCGAGTGTGACTCTATACCATCTAGGAAATGAAGAAGGGAGAATTATGGTGGTCTTAGCATATGGCTCATTATTTACATCTGACAAGTGGGCTGCATCCATGCGTGGGCTGCACAAGAGATGAAGGAAAGCTCACGTAGAAAGAGGGTGTGGTGGGATGCAGCGCTCCAGGCTGAGTTAAGGAGCCGATGCAGGTGCCTGGATGCGTAATTAGCTTTCTAGTCCCCTGAGAGAATGATTCATGCACGGACCTACAGGTAGCCCACTGCCGGAGCTACGCCGCCAGACACGAACATCTCATTTAACATTATGTAACACCTCAGTTTCCTTATTTCTCGCCTTGTTTTTCCTTTTCTCCCTCTCTTCTTTCTCTCTCTGTCTCGTAGTGCAGGTTGTTAGAATTTGAACCCGGCCTATAAATAGCTCACGCCCATGCTGGAGGAAACAGAGTGGGCTTTATATAACACAGCAGCCCCCCAACTGCCCTTGATGACTCTGATTAAGAGTACCCCACTCTCTCACACTCACACATACGCAGAGACACGCACATCGACCCCCTGAAGGAGAGGAGAGACAGAGAAATTATGACTTTGACATTGTATGGCAGCTTATCTCCGAGGGATCCTGATGCAAAAAGCTTACATAAATAGCAGCGGGCGGTTTACTGAGCAGAAGACAGCGGGTCAGCCCCCCATGTCCAGAACGTAGGGGGCACAGCATGTGAAAACATATATTTTTTTTTCCAGCTTGAATTCATTACCTATTAAAAATGCAGCAAGCCAATACACGCCTGAGGGCACATCTACATTTAGCTGAGTAATCAATGTAGCTGCATCTTCACTGGTGCATGTTAACCTGTGTGGTATGGAGAGCTTATCCACAGCGCTAAAGGAAACTGCACTCTATTCACAGCAAGAAAAGGCTTCTTTTAGATGCTATTCAGGTGCTGCTGAACACCTGTTTGTGTGTTTCTATTTCTGCTTGTTTCGTCTTTATTGTACCGCTTTATCAGAGTGGAAACCCGAGGACTTCAGCACCCCACAGTGACCTCCTTCCTGTCATGCAACATAAGCCAGCCGGCACATGCTCTGCCCAAAGGTCTATAATAAGACATTCCAGAGAGCTCAGACTATCTCAAACTGACACCAGCATCCCTTCAGCATGCATGGATTGTCGCAGTTTTAATGTGAGTCTTAAGAGATAATGTCACAACTATAAGGAAAAATCGCTTGGCCGACTGCTGCTTCGGGGAGCTGCAGCTGTAGCAACATGCATTGCGAAACCTCTTGTGTGTGTGGGAGAGCGTTTGCTTTTGTACGTTTTCAGAACAAAAAGAATGTTCTGACCAGAGAGGGACACAGGAAACTTACAATGTCAGGACCAAAAGGATGTGGTTTTTACAAAAGGTCAGGTTAGGTTTATTCATATTCTGTAAAAATTTCTATCATATGCAGTCACATATACTCTGGTCCCCACTAGTTTTGAAGGCCTAATGTTTTCCGGGAATTAAAATACATGTCTGTACGTTTTAATCTATGCTTATTTAATAGTATCATTACACTTGTTGTATTTACACTCTGCAAGTATTGAACCACTTCTCTTATTTATGGTAAAGCCACCAAGCTCTCCCATTAGGTAGGCCTTCAGGAGCTGGGCAGAAGGCCTCACTGTTCGTTCATGTTAGCAGCTGAAAAGAAAATGTAAAAAATATAAGTTTGTAAGTTTGTAAGTTTCTCTTCCTTTTTTGGCACAAAACTATTGGGCATAAGAATGAAATGCCAGTAGAAACAAAAAACGCGGAGAGCAGAGGCTGGGACCTGAGAACTCGGACCACCGTGTTTATGATTGTCACTTCACCGCATTATGGTTCATTTGCATAAGTTTGAGAAAATTTCAGCTCCACTTCTAGCCCTGCCACTATGTAACTTGTCACTAAATTGCAGCTACAAATTGGAAACGACTGGTCACCTATCGCTCTGTCGACTGCTAATGTTTTATATCTAATGGTTTTATATCTAATGGTTTTATATCTAATGGTTACACATCAGAATAACTACCAACACAAGCAGGAACTGACAGTGGAGGTCAAGGTTTAATATAGATGGGACCAATTTTGTAAGAAATTGTAAGCCTGTAAGCCTTCTGGAAGTTCTAGATATGTCACTGATGCAAATATGCAAATACAAGCAATATTTAAGCAAGTAGCTTAACATTAACATACTATTAGTATTCCCCTTAGAGAGTGGCAGAAATTAGCATATATATATACACACACACACAAAACACTAAAGGCCTAGCTCTAACAGTCATGGTCCCCCAGAGTACATATGGGATATATTATTATGTATAGGTTGTTACATATTGTCAATATCACATCAAAACTTTCTCCAACTCCATTGTTTTCATTACTTTTTTCACACCCATTGAAAAACACCATCTGTCCTTTATTTCAAGACAAAATGCCAGTATAAATCACCCAAAATTACTTGTAAATTTATAGGTTACAATGTTTTCCAACGACTGCAATGCCAACACATATGGAACATGAATATACTTCATGTCCTAACACTGTTTAAAAACAAACAAATGTGTGAGTGTTTTTAGCGCCTGAGAGGGGGGACGTTGTACAGGTAGAGATGCCAGAAACGTAACAGATTAACCAGCAAACACCATCTGTGTCCCTGTCCTGTGGTCAACAAGCATGATACAAACCTATTTTTCAGTGCCAACATTTATACCTCCCTTTGGGTTTCCTTCCCAAATCCCAGTGCTTTAAAGGCACAGTTCATGATTTTTGACATGTGTATCCTTTGTATACACAAACACCTTGACAAGCTGTTTAGGTATCTACAACTTTCATTCCTCCTGGCAGTGCACATGTCTTCTCCTTTCTTCCTCCAGTGCTGCCGTTGTACTCGGGAGGAAAACAGAACTGTTTCCTTGAAGAGAAAGTAGTTCTGCTGCAGAGTGATGTAAGGAATGCTAAACAGCCTGAATGCCTGAGCCCTTTTGT